AGGCCTACACCGACCTGCATGCAAACAGCCTGCTCAGCCTGCCCTTCAGGGCCTACACACCGTGAGTTATGAGTTACATTTGACAAGATTATCGTTTCTCACATCTGATCCTACTACTCCACACTGGACATTCGGCATCACTTTTTTCAGATAAATTTGAATTCACATTTTCCGTTTGCATTTAACTCGCTACTTACGTTTCAGTCTTTTATGAGTATAATACTATTTTCGCTGTTTTGAACTGACGAAGGAGCTAGTCTCCGGAAATTTTATATGAATACATGATGAATTAAATGTCGTTTTCTTTGCTTTTATATAATTGGCGAACTTGTGATATAAGCCTATTCATGATACAAGCACGCACGTTATTTACTTACATCTAAAATAATTTATTGCTCTCTTAACTATTTTATGCCTGCTACGTCTTCTAAAAAAATGAAATCTCTAAATTAATTGGATTCGAACAAATTTCGAACGCAGTTTGTTGAAAACAAGTCCAATAATTGGAGCAAATTGTCGACCGCGAAATTTACGTAAACAAGGCAAGGAAGCCACCGCCGTACCCTTAAGGGTCTTATTCGGGAGCATAAATTTATTTCGTGGTCTGATTGCAGTCAATTGAATGCCAGACAAATCAATGGTTTTACGGCAGTTGTGATGTAAAATTGAGTGTTGAGGGGCAATCTGCCAGCAGGGCTTGCGATTTAGAGTCGTAAAAGAAGTTGTTCAGGAGTTACAACGAATATCGGTCCATGTTCAAAGGCGAGGCTAAAACAAACATAGCGACAAAGCTTGCAATAGATCGGCTTGATTATTCGTACCCGTTGGGTCACACTCAATTTTATTGTGATTTATCCCAAAGTCCAAACATTTTTATAAATAATTTCACATTTTCACGACAAACTAAGCATGATTTGGAATTAATACAACAATATTAAAAGCTAATAATTTACTTTGGATTAAATTTTGCACACTGGCAATTGTGATAACTGAACTGAAAGGTTTTTGAAGAAATATATATCATTTTTCATTACCTCAAAAAAATCATGATTATGCGAAGAATTTATTAACATGTTGAGTGCGGTACGACCAACCGGTGGGTTCCAGGGTATTTTTTTCCGGACAAATTCCGCGATTTAGTTTTTTTTTCAATTGCGTTAGCTGGCAAAAATTTATGATAGTGATACTTCCTCATTATATTTTAAAGCGTACAAGAAAAAAAAAAGAAAATCGTATTTTTGCGCTGGAACCTATAAATTTACTGGTAAGTATTGACTTATGGCCTTTCGCACTCAACGTGTTGAATAATTGTTATTTTGAATGAAAAGTGATGGAGAATTTTTTCCAGACAACTAACTAATAAACGGCATACAATCTTATTTTACATTCGCAGGCAAATCTAATTAAATTATATTTCCTGACTCAAAGCATAACCAGAAAGTATGGATGTTTGCTCATGTGAGAACAAAATTAATTGGTAAAATATTCAAGCGCATTGTGCATGAAATATTCAATTATTCAGTTAAAGTACCTCAATATGGAATGAATTCAATTCACAATTCAAATACTCGGCTTTCAACTAAACTCCTTAAGCACCGACATGGAACAGAACGAACTGAAGCATGCGTAATTCAAATTATTCTTGGGCGAGCCTATGAGTTCACGACGCTAGGAATGGTCACCGTGTCATCGGAAGGCCTGCCGCGCCTCTTCGTTCAGTCTTCACTGTTGAGTAACGGAGTTCAAATGCCACTCTAAAGGGCGTAAAAATAATGTTCCGTATTTCAGCTACTTTTTGACCATAATCTTTGACCAGAGAAATCAGATATTCGGCCGCTCGATGGTTTTATCAAATCCATATCCTGGAATTACAAGCAATAATAATTAAAAGTGAAGTAGAATTTACTTGTGAAATATACTACTTTTAGCGCATTTTTCTCATTTATGGAAAAAATGCACTATTGTGCTCGCCATGTCCATCTGTCTATCCGTCTGTCCGTCCGTCTGTCCGTCCGTCCGTGACCTCAAGTTTTCGTCGGCGAGAAAATGAGCTCTCTGTCACTCACTGCAGTGAGTACTGAGTTATATTTTTCACATTTACACCTGAAGTGACCGTAACTGTACTGTACTATGATATTGAATTTGTTGGTCCATCATTCATATTACATTAATAGCGTTCATTTCTTAGCATTGAATGCCAATAAAAATAAGGGTATTCGTAAGATGGAGTACTACTGATTAATTTACGACCCTAGCGCCTCATTTCACGTCATCCTATAAGGCAGTTGGAAATTTAGTAAAGGCGCGATGAGTTAGGAAATTCAATCATGGAATATCGATCATTATTTTACGGTGGATTGTTGATAGTCCAAGTTCTTCAAATCTCTTTATTGGAAGACAGCCAAAATATCGCTCGTGCTTTCGCTTATGATTGAAGACATCGAACTCATCATCACTTCCAAGATGCGGTCCACGATACCAAGCTGGTCCTAATAACATAGTTGACTAGCATGGCAGCGACCGTGTGTTTTTTTAAGCTCTTCGTCGTAAACTTTTTAGGTCTGCATGTGTAGTGCAGCTGCAGTATCGTACCAGTCTCCTTCATGCCATATTCTCGTGCCTCGAGGTGCTTATATAACTGACTTAACCGTAGTTTTTTCACTCGCGATCATAGTTTGCCAGAGGGAATTGACGATATATTCTTCCCTCGAATTTGCTTTTATTGCACTATATTTTTTTAGCATTGTCACCTGCTTCCATGGACCATTCTTACAAAGAGATTTGAATTCAAATTATTTATTAAATAAAGTTCGAATAGCCAACTGTATCGTTCAATTTATTCATAGTTAACATTCAACTGAAATGATTTTTCTGTTATGGTACTTGCAATTTTCACTGAAAATCTCCATTTCGTCTAAGTAAATTTTCCCACGTAACTAATGATTTTCTCAATTTGTTTATCTTCGCCCTTAATAGGAGGTTTTCACCGCGTCTTAATTAAATATCACTTTTCTTCAGTTTCTGCTATCAAACTATTCGCAACCTATTCTAAGATACTTGTTAATATTTCGTGCTTGAACTTCATATATATAATAACCTATCCAGCAAATTTTTTGCACGCTTAGAGTTGAGGTAAATTTTATATTTATTTGTATTTTTTTACACTGGCTGGTCGGTTTTATTACATAATTACATTCTAAAATTGTCTAGCCAAGCATAACGCAGGAGTTGCACCCAGCAGTTTCCCGCTGAGGTCTAGGCACGATGCTGGAAAATATTTTCGTCTCTACTAACACTGCAATTAAAAACTCCCTCTCTGCACATGGCCATATTCAACGATATTAGCTCGCCAGCTACTTAATATTTTCGAAAATAAAGTAACTTTTTACTAGTGCTTGATGTTCATTCTAAAGTCCCTTTATCATTCTTAATCATTCTTCACATTTTGCTGTTCCTACATTTTATGTTCGCGTTGAAAGCTGCACAAGGAAATTTAAGACCTGTTATCATGCAATAATTGTTTGCAGATTACGGGACGTAACTGACGAGAGTGTGCTGACGTCACTCGAGGTCGCCGCACGTCGCTCGTCAGGATCAGGATCATGTCGCAGGGAATATCCTTGCATCGTCGATCCCTTCGAGCTCATGAACCTCGTTATCGACAATGTCGCGATAAAATTATAGTTTCAATGCTGGTAAAAATTATTCACAAATGCTGAAAAAATTTGAGGAGTCTAAAATACTTGAAGTGCAACGAGTTCATTGTTTCAAATGGTGACAGTTTCATCGAGCCTGAAATCGGTTTTGAATTAACAGAAAGTTTGAATTAGAACATGCATCGTCTTTCGAACTGCAATGTATATCAATATATTTATTATGCGTAAATAAAATGTGTGTACTGAAATTATGGAATAAAATTTTAGACCAGACGGCTTGTGACTAGGTATTGAGAGATTAAAATAAAGGGCATCAGATGCTATTACTCTTCTATTGGGGATCGCAAATTAATGATAGTAAGTTAGAATTAAAAAAGTCCGAAATCACAATTAATATTTATTTTATAACTTAAGTGAGCTTCTAAGTTTGACCTAATCTATTCTATTAATGTAACAACGGAGAAAATTTTTTGAGATTTATTGATAGCAGAGATGGTCATTAGCTTATAGAACATAGACTCATAGAGCATAAATATTTCTCTTTTTATGTACTATCAGAAATCTCTTATCTATGATTAGTGATTTTAACTAAAACAGTTGTAAAAATGTGTTGGATCCATTGTGGAAATTAAAGGCATTATATTATGTAGTAATTTATTTATGTGAGGTTTTCTTGCAGTTAAATATAGTAGTCATGAAAATGAAATTTTTCTCCTCTGCATCCCACATATGAGGAAATATTGAACCTTCGTAAATGCTCCACCCAACACTTTTTTTCTCAACCAATCGTTGGCATTTAGTACTAAGGTGAGATTAGTAAATCACTTCAAAATCTAATACTGTAAATCCTGCCACTGTTTCATTATATATTTCAATTACCTTCTACGAATTAAGTAACATTTGCTTGTCATTCCTGCCAAGCTGATTACTGACTTTCTTAAAGTACAGTTATTAAAAATATGAAAAAATATGAATAATATGGAATAGATCCCACCCCTGCTTCATATCACTCTCATAAAGAATATGCGAAATTAGCAACGTTGGTTGAAAATAAACTTCGTTTTTACTCTAATTCAAGCTGAAATGACGAACTTCATTGTGCCTAAATCTACCAGCATTTACCCTTCAATAGTGGTAGTCATCTGGCAGGAATATTTTCTATTCTGCTTACATTCCCCTCATTAGGGCAATACCTAATTAAGACGTTTGATGCGAGGACAAAATAGCATTATCATTGATTGCAGCAGTTTTTTCGTGAAATTCAATCGAATAATCAATAATTAATTACATGTAACTGGTTTTAAATACTCTTCGTATCATCGAGTCCCAGTTTTCATTCGAGCTGCCAGGAATTTGGAGGAGCGGCTGGTAATGACTTCCAGGACTTGCACTGCAGTGAGTACGGACGCTCCCAGCATGAGGCCGATGATGCCACCGATGTCGCCGCCCAGGTCTGCTCCTACGTACGTGTACGTCTCCACCAGCGAATGTTTCTCGATGCTTGTGAGGTAGACCTGCGTCAGTAGATAATGTAGACCTGTGTCAGTAGATAATGTAGACCTGCGTCAGTAGATAATGTAGACCTGCGTCAGTAGATAATGTAGACCTGCGTCAGTAGATAATGTAGACCTGCGTCAGTAGATAATTCTTACTAAAAATGTAACAAAAAATGTAACTCAGTAATCACTGCAGTGAGTGACAGAGCGCATTTTCTCGTCCGTCCGTGACGGACATGACAAGCAAATTAATGAGAAAATGCGCTAAAAATGGGTACCAATGCTGAGGCTTTTAAAATTAACCGTTCTTTGGGTTGAGTGAAAAGAAAGTGAATATTTTCTAACTATAAAATGAACTGTTTTTATGATCTGAGTGAATTGAAAGTAAAAATTTCCAAATTTCCTTGCCAATGAATTGGCAATGGCTTTTAAAAATTACGGAAGTTGATCCCGAAAGATAAAACATGGAGGCAATGGAGGGGAGGGAATAAAATTGTTTCGAACGTAATATAGAATAAGTGCACCCATTGAAAATCGCGCTTGATCGGAAAATGTTTCATTCCGCCCATATATGCATTTTATTCTACGTTGTAAAATTATTGAGCAATTTTTTCTGACCCTGAGTGATATATACAACATTTAAACATAAACAAGTAGCAAGTTTATCATCCGCGTTTCTGAGACTGAACGATTGATTTTCAGTAGAAAATAATTTCTATCACCTACGCAGTGCTAGGAGACCGGCCAAGCCTCTACCTTGACCGTGGAAGTCCGGACATAATTCCATGTAGTGTCGCCATGTTCGGTGTACATGACATAGGTGCAGGGCTTGGGGCAGTTACAGAGACTCATGTTGAATTTGCCGCTGAAAATTTGCTCCTTGGCCACGTTTAGCGCATTTTCCACCTGCTTGCGGCCTCTGCACTCAGGCCACGACACGTCCATGTAAGGCAATCTGTGATCAGGAGATGAAATTTCTAGACAATATTAAGCTTGTATTATCGAGATAGTTGAAAGTGGAAATGGTGTTCTTAACTTACGGTTAGCGATCGAGAAACTAAATGGAGAGTTTTTGCTTGATTTTTGTGTCAAGAACATAAAATAACAGCAAATAAATAATTTTCTATTCCTACCGCTAGTTTGCCAGAAAACACCAGAAAACAACCGGATATTATTCTACCCCTGCAAATTTCTGAATTATTTATGATGAGGAGAATAATCATATTATGTTAGCTTTGAACTTGCAGTCTGCCTTATAACTTTATTCATATAGTCCATTATAACTTTAATCATACAGCTAGCATTAAACCTTTACGGCTCTATAATCATACAGCTAGCATTACAAGTTTAATCATACAGCTAGCATTATAACGTTAATCATCCAGCTAGCATTACAACTTTAATCATGCAGCTAGCATTATACCTTTAATCATACAGCTAGCATTACAACTTTAATCATGCAGCTAGCATTATACCTTTAATCATACAGCTAGCATTATCAGGCAATAAGTCCAGCAGCTATCTCAATCAATCGTCAGCTATGGAAAGATCGGGTTCCAAAGGCCGGATCCCTTGTGAATCAAGTCACGAAAAGTTCAAGAATCGGCAACAGGCCATGGGCCTATTTCTTCAACGCCGACACTTCTATTCTATTCTAATCAATCAGCTAACATTACAACTTTAATCATACAGCTAGCATTATACCTTTAAATCAATCAGCTAACATTACAACTTTAATCATACAACTAGCATTATACCTTTAATCATTCATCTAACATTACAAGTTAAATCATTCAGCAGCCACATTCTATCACCTGCACCCAGCTCTCCGAGCGACCTCGCTGTACACGCACGAGCTGAGGCAGGCTTGCATGTCGTACCCGAGGACGCTGGTGCACGGTGCGTTCCTTCTGTTCAGTTGACTGATGGTCTGTAAAATCATTCGAGTAAATGCGCCTTTAGTCTCTAATACTGTTATTTTTATAATGATCAGTTAAATGCTGGTATAGCGATTAAATCATTATTAAGAAGCAATTTTCACAGCATTCGAAAAAAGAAAATGTTTTCCGCTCATCATATATTAGCTGAGTAGTAAACACGTCCAAATAACGAGTTTTTGAAGCATAGTTCCTTGGCAGTTGGCAATACCATGAGGTAACAAAACTCCAAGATTCCGATTCAACTGTATTCAGTAAACGCTGAAACAATATTCTGAAATATTTCCCTTCCGATTTCAGGCAACAGAAATGATCCCAGGGATATTATTTCAAAATAAAATTATGAAAACCTGCATGGCGACGGAGCGTAGAAGGTAGCATCCGAATTTTTCGTTTCTGACGGGACACTTGAAGCCGTCGTTGATGCGGAATGCGGCCGGAGAGCGGATGTCATGGATGGCAATCTGTGAATAAAATGTTATGGAGAGGGAAGTTGGATCTTGATTTGAAGTAGAGGTAATCTGCTCAAAAATAAATTTTTTGTATATTTATACAACTGAAATTAGAGAATTCAAGGCCTACATAAATGTGTGAACTAAATGCATACAGCTAGGAGAATATAACAGATGAAAGGTTTATAATTCAACTGTTAAATGCAATCGGTATCAGAATAAAATATTTATTTGACTTGATTGTCTATGTCGGAGAGGCAGGTAGAAAATATGAGAAAAAACGCTTTGGAATAGAATATGTCGTAGTATGCATAATATATATTTAAGATGGTTTTAAATTTCTTTATTTATATCCGCGAATAATTAAAATCATAGAAATAAACGTTCCATAACAAGGGTTAAATACAAAAATTTAATGTTGCGGGAATTTTCTTTCAAGAATAGGATAGAAATGTCGGCACTGAAGAAATAGGCCCATGGCCTGTTGCCGATTCTTGTACTTTTCGTGACTTGATTCACAAGGGATTCGGCCTTTGGAACACGATCTTTCCATAACTGACGATTGATTTAGATAGCTGCTAGACTTATTCAAATCAATTATCTCTCGAGCGTCAGGTTATTGTCAACTGGCAATCATTCGTTCATTTATATATAAGAAATTTGATGGCTGGCACACAAACATAACTGCATTAAAGTGCGTCACCTTATATCCTTTGAAGATTTGTCCGAACGGGTGACGGGAGTAGTTAAGTTGCAAGTAAAGCCCGTAGAGAGGACCGTCTAGTCGCGTCATGCCACCTGGTGACGAAAATTTTCGAAAATTTTATCCTTTGAGCTTGCCATCACTAATCCAAATCATTAATTTACTTAGTATACTTGTGAAATTTGTATATTTAGGGTAGAACCTTTCATTTAGACATGTTTGGTTAAAAATGATATACTTCCTATACAAAGAATAATAAGTAAGAAAAATTTTTTTTAACACGTGCCCTCTTTCTAGGCAGTAACACTTGTTAGATTTCAAAATCGGTGCTTAATACTTTTTATGTAATATTACACTACCTGTAAAGTTAATACACTACATATATACATGTATATACTCTGTTAATATTCATTACCTGTATAAGTAAAGCACAGGCCGTACTCGGTGAACACTGATGACCACGAGCCCAAGTCTTCACACGTCGTGCCTGGTCCCAGCAGACACTGTGGCAGTTGAATGTCATCAATAAAACTTATACATAAATTTTCTGCGAGTTTCTGTTCACTTGCATATGCATATGTTACTCGCCTTTTATATTCTGATTAACATCAAAGAAGTATTTTTTCATTTAATGCATGATTTTCCCCTAAAATTCCAGGTTTGCTTAGGACTAAATTTAATAATAAATGTTATAAGAACGATAACATGAAGACTTTTATCTCTTATTGTTCGTTTGAAATTTTGCATTAATATTGATTTTTTAAACGGCGTACTGTAATTCATTAGACTGCACATCTACTTCATTGTCCTTATGAGATTTCCTTGACACTATTAATTATTTTTACTCAATATCTGATTCATCTCTTAGGTTTTGATATTAGCGATGTTGTTGTGATTGCTATACTGGTAAATTGGCGGCTAGAGACGTGATGATAGGTCAGTTTTGCAGGGCACTTAGGCCACTTGTATTTCCACGACCATCACTGGCTCCTTGACCCGCCAAAACCATTTTTGTTTGCATTACACTACACCCCTGGACAAGCCAGGTAATCATTTATCAACCCGAATTAGATAAATGACTGAGTTGACCATGAGCTTCTCGGAAGAACTTGTCCTCAGTGGGACTCGAACCCGAGAGCTAGGTGCGAGAGACAGAGTCTCTCACAACTGCACCACCGCAACTCTTATAGACATTAGCCATCATCATACTCTTCGAACAAGCTCCTTCTTCTCGTAGCCGCCCCTCGTCCAAATGTCGCTGAGAGACAAATTGGCTACGTCGAGTAGCTGCATTTCGGCGTCCTCAGGCATCGCGCTCCCTGGCCTGTACTGCAGCCACAGTCGGTGCAGGTTATTGAAGTCGTACTTCTGTCTGTGGTCAAATAAAGAAAATTTTCATTTCATCGTACCATCACTAGACTAGAGCACCGAGCTCTAGCATCACTGATCCAGATATTATTACCACGAGAAGGGTCGATTTAGAGTATGTCTATTCCTGCTTCTGCATTGGAGTCTCTCGGTAAATTGTGTTGAATCTAAATATGCATCATAATACGTTCGCAATTGCTAAAAACAAGTAGAACTATTTTTTTAGCTATGGTGAACAAAATTTTTTTTCTTCTGGCAATGAAACAAAGTAAAAGTAGTTTTAGTGGAAAAGCCTTACACTAAAAAATTAAGAGAGATACAACTAACAATTTAAGAAGTTTGTCAATTGTAGTTAATGAGAAAAATACAGGGTGCGCCACAGAAACTTACTTATTTGAAAAAATTCCTGTGCGGTTAGTTGGTCGGGTAGAGGGGCGAGAGGGGGTGCATCTGAAGGGGAAAGTTCCCAAGTTTGTTTCTCAAATAAATTTGCTGTAGTGCAAGAATTAACTGAACGCGATTTTGTTTCCCCTCAAAATGCATGTAAAATGCTGGTTGACAACCTGCCTGAAGACGCTGTCGCTTTTTTCAGTGGCGAGGCTCACTTCCACATTTCCGGCTGCGTTAACAAGCTAAACATGCGTTATTGGTGTGGTGTAAATCCACGTGAGTTTCACCAGAAGCCACTTAACTGTGAGCGAGTTACTGTCTGGTGTGCGACGTCGGCAATGGGAATAATTGGTCCTTATTTTTTTTTCCCCGACCGCCTCATCTCTCTCAGAGGCGATCTCCAATGGCCGCCACGCTCTCCAGGTTTGACTCCATGCGATTTCTTTTTATGGGGATATTTGAAATTTCTGGTTTATGTCGATCGACCACGGACCATAGCACACCTCATGAACAACATTCGCGACGTCATTGCCAAAATACCGATTGATATGCTGCATAGAGTGGAAACCATTATGAAAAAAATGACTTCATTAGTTTATGCGCAATGGAGGCCGTCATTTATGAGATTTAATTTTCAAAACTGTATGAAAAAAATATGGGATAATGTTTTCTCGAATAAAGAAAAATTTAAAACAATAACTGAAGTACTTTTGTTTTTATTGACCTTTCAAATAAGTAAGTTTCTGTGGCGCACCCTGTACTATGAATATTATTTAAAAAATGTACAATTGAGAAAATTGTCTAAGAATGATGAGCTTTTATTTCATATTTACTCAGCGCATACGGTGATAGCAGGCAAGTGAGTGGTAGTGTTACTGGACGCGTGTACCGTCACGCCGATGTATCCAGCACTGAACAGCGAAACTTGGATGCCGATGTAGAAGATGGCCAGGCCGACACCACAACACAAAAATAAGAACCAAGTCACCCTCCTGTTGTCGGAATAAGCATTGGAATTAGAAACTTATTAATTTTTAAGAAATGATAGCCCATATTTCTTGACGGAAAACCACAAAGCGGATCTTAGGACAGGAGAGTGTCAACAAAACCAGATTCACGATTAAAAAGTGTTTTAACATAAACTTCTCATCTAAAGAATCCCTATTCTTGAAGTCGTTCTTGCTCAAGCCATTATTTCAGCTAAGAGCGATTCTTCGAGTTGGAGGATTGTGTCGCAACTCTTTCTTTTTGTCAAAGTCGCAATCTACCTCCCGTGAAAATTTTTTTAGACATATGCTTACAAAAAGGCTGAGGGTAAAATATCGTTATTCTTGAAGACGCCGTCTCATTGCCGTTTCTCAAGAAATACAAAAGTTTTAACATACCACTTTGATTTCTTGTTCTCGTATACGTAAATAATTTGAGTGAATTTTCAACTCAGAACACTATTTTTTTATTCAAAGAATAAACGGATCGCTGATTTCGATTTCTTACCTGGTCCAGTGGACGTCGCCAGAGGCCACAACGGAGAGACCAACTAACTGGATGTGATCGATTCCTAATTTCGGTCCAGATTTGAGCCACTTTCGTAAAGTCTTTCGCATCGCTAACAACATGTTTGTGTATCTTTAATCTGAGAAACGTTGACTGTCTTCAATTTATTTTGACTCCTGAACATTGGTGACAATTTTCAACTGATACCAAGTTATGTATTTACATTGAAATGGATGTTTGCTAAAATGTAATTGCTTACAATTTTCTATATAGTAGGCTTTATTCTTTTTCATTTTCTACAGAGAAAGATGCGAAATGCAGGAAAGTAATACAAGTGCCAACTATATACTGTGTTCCGAGTGGCAAGACATTGCACAATGAAAGCGAACGCTTCTTCTCTGTACTGTATACGAGTGAGACGTGCACTAACTTGCAATCGATGAACATGATTGCAATCGTTGATACCGCGACAGTGCAAGACTGAGTGTCACTTAATAACAAACATGAAGAGCCCAGCGCACTTCATCAACGTCGCCAATTATTAACCGTTCTCAATAGCGGAGCGTTGATGAAGATAAGTCCTGTCGTTGCCTTATTTGTTCACAACGGTGCTGGTATTGTGGCGCGTCTCAATTACTAACTGTGATCGAACGATGCACGCTCTATGGTTTGATTTTTCGCGACAGAGATAAAATGTCTTGTGCGACTCACTGAATAATCGCAAAATATTTTTTATTGTCAGTATTTGAAATATTTTCAAAAATATTTCAAGTATTTCAAAGTCAGTCAGTAGCTTTTTGCAATTTTTCGAAACGATTCAATAATAACAATTCAAATGAACAGCTGATTATTGAATACAACATGAAAAACTAACTTTATCCCACATATTGTCCAGCGTGTGCTACATTTCGTATTAAAACTCCAAGAAGCACATATCATCATATTTTTGTCTTATTAACGTCCTTCATAATGATCAAAATTATTTAGCGAACACAATTTATTCATATTGAAAAGGGACGATCTCCAAATAATTAGACTGATCTTAACTGATCAATCTTACACTGATCGAAAATAAATTGGTTAATAAAATGCACATAGAATGATGGTATTTACTTAAGTCTCGTCGTGCAATCTTGCGGATAGCTCAGATCGATACACGATTCTTATTGGAATAATATTTTTGCTTATAAAACAACCAAAGTCATGTTCTGCACATTTTTTCTGCACAATATTTTTGCTCTATGTCCTACTTCAAATAACCGAAATATGTTTTCTCACATCCAATAATCTGTTCATGCAAGACATTTTGATGCTATACTCTCTTACCACAAAAAGTGGTCCACTTGAACGGTCGGGACATCGCAACTGACAACATTATTTATTCTAGATGATTTTTTGTTGCGTTCTGGACAGATTCTATCCACTGGTTAACGGTCTCTTGAACAACGACCATTGGACCAACGCTCTGGAGGACAACGTCGTGGTAACTCTGCAGGCTGAACTGATCCTGGAGTTGTTCCTCAGCGTTGGTCCTGAACTCCCGGAGCTGCAGTTCTCCCCATTTGTAAGCCAACGCCTGGCCCGGCCACGTGATGTAGCGGTTCACTTCATTCTGCGAATATGAATATTATATAGATTTATCATGTTATCCTATTTAGTTCTCTAATTTACTAATACAGAAAATAATATTTATATATTATGTCCACATTGTTTGTACTAATATATATTCTCCCAGTTTTGAAAAACTGAGCACGTAGATCAAGACGGAGCCAAAAAGCAAAAATTTACAATGCACATTAAATGGGATCCCTTAATGATTATGTCTTTTGCAAATGCATTAATATTCTAGTCAAGTACACTAATTTGTGATAAGAACATTTCGAGCAATTCTTAGCATGCGAGGTCCAAAAACACTTAACTCGCTTGAAAAATTTCGTAAAATTTAAATAATCGGTTTCTTCGATATTACGAGTACCTTGCCAACTTATTCGATGAACTCATAAAAAATATAACTCAGTACTCACTGCAGTGAGTGACAGAGAGCGCATTTTCTCGTCGACGAAAACGTGAAGTCACGGACAGACAGACAGACAGACGGACATGGCGAGCACAATATCGCATTTTTTTCCATAAATGAGAAAATACGCTAAAAAATAAGATTAACTCGCCTCCACTGCATGTGGTGTCATGGCCGTGTTGTCGAGCAGGTATTGCATGGCCTGTTCTTTGGTCCAATTGAAGGCGTGAATGCCAGTGTCGATGACCAGGCGACATGCCCTGAACATCTCGTCAGAATAGTGGCCATATCTGCGGAAATTTAATGCGTTTCAAATTAAATTTCAAATTAATTATTAGCCCTATTTCAAATTATTGAACATCAGATCATTATTGAAAGAACCAAATTTAAATTAAACGAAAAACTTTACGCCTTATGTAAGATTATTCTAATTATTGAACATCAGATCATTATTGAACACATCAGGTTTAAATCAAATGATCAATTTAATTCTTTATAACAGATTATTAAAATTATTGAGTATTAGATCACTTTTGAACGAATCAAATTTAAATCAATGAACAATTTAATGCATTATAAAAGATTATTCAAATTGTTAAACATTGGATCATTACTGAACAAATCAAATTTAAATCAAACGAAAAATTTAATGCGTTGTAAATGATTATTCAAATTATTGAACATCAGATCAACTTTGAACGAATCAAATTTAAATCAGACTGAATATTTAATGCGTTGTAAATGATTATTCAATGTATAAAGCATCAGATTATTATTGAACAAATTAGATTTATTTCAAATGAACAATTTAATTCGTTATAACAGATTATTCAAATTATTGAGCATCAGATCATAACTGAATAAATCAAATTTAAATCAAATGAAAAATTTAATGCGTTGTAAAAGATTATTCAAATTATTGAACATCAGAACATTATTGAACAAATCAAATTTAAATCAAATGAACTATTTAATGCGTTATGAAAGATTATTCAAATTATTGAACATCAGATAACTTTTGAACAAATCAAATTTCAATCAATGAACAATTTATTGCGTTATAAAAGATTATTCAAATTATTGAACATCAGATCATTATTGAACTATTGAAAAAATAATATTTAAATTAGATTAGCAATATAATGCGTTGTAAAAGATTATTGAAATTATTGAGCATCAGATAATAATTGAATAAATCAAATTTAAATCAATGAACTATTTAATGCGTTATATAAGAATATTTTAATTATTGGACATCAGATCATTGAATTCCTAGTAATTATGGTTCAAATTATATTATGTTTCGAGTTTCGATTCTTTTGGTAATGTTAAATGTGAAAATGTTGTTGTATTACCTTTCTAGTGGGTCATTGTAGAGTTCCATGTCGAAACCAACAGACTCAGCGTATAGGGCCCAACCTTCGATGTAATAAGTGCGCAGGGGGAACCTGAAAAATATACATCTCCATTAAAAGAGCACTGAAGCATTTAATGTTGGATTAAAGATGAATTTTTTTATACATATTACTAGTACTTTCTAAGCGAAAAAATAACTTTCTACGCACATTGCCGATAGCTCCAACTAAAAACGAGATAAATCATAAGTGACGCAGGGAACTAGTTGGAAATACAAGACAAGAAATTTTTGGGTAACCACATGCCGTCTGAATATCGTGGTAATCTATTAGCTAACTTAATAATTACCAATAGCTAACTTAATAATTATCAAAAACTTACCTAATAATTACCAATAACTAAAATTAATAATTACCAATAACTAACTTAATAATTACCTATAATTACCAATAGCAAACTTAATAGTTACCAAAAACACACCTAATAATTACCAATAACTAAAATTAATAATTACCAATAACTAAACTTAATAATTACCTATAATTACCAATAGCTAACTTAATAGCTACCAATAATTAACCTAATAATTACCAATAGCTAACTTAATAATTACCAATAACTAATCTAATAATTACAAATAGCTAAGTTAACAATTACCAAAAACTAACTTAATAATTACCAATAACTAATCTAATAATTACAAATAGCTAAGTTAATAATTACCAAAAACTAACTTAATAATTACCAATAACTAAACAAATAATTACAAATAGGTAAGTTAATAATTACCAGAAACTAACTTAATAATTAAGAATAACTAGCTTAATAATTACCAATAGCTAATTTGATAATTTACTTAATAGTTAAACTATAGCTCGACCTGCTAGGGGAGTGAGCGTAGTTCCTGTCCTCCGTGGACGCCCTGAAGTAGGGGATGTCGGGGGACTCGAGGGCGTAGGATCCCTGCAGGTGATGGCCGGGGTTACCTTCATGCAACGACAGCGTCAGCATCTCGTACTTGGGTCTTGTGGGTGAAAAAATGATTGTTATTATTGAAATTCAACATATGCAATGAAGCAAAAATTCTTATTCAGCAAAAATTCTTATTTTTATCTCCATTGTTTATGTATCCTTGATATATTGTATGATGAAATATTGTATTCCCTGTATTACCAACATCTTTTACTATCATCTCATATAAATAAAATATGATCCTTGAAATATTGTATGAAGAAATATGCCACGTCTTGTCAGCCTCTTTTACAATAATCTGATATAAATAAAATATAGATATCTCGACCTGGTAAATATTCGGATGAATTGTATCAAGAAATGCATAACTTGATACCATATTGACATTTTAATTTGCGTCTTCAATCATAATAATATTTCACATATACTGTGTTATACAAAGACATAAACTTTTCTAATTTGATGTAATATATAATTAGAAATTTTCATAACTTGAAATAAAATCCTACAAGATATACGTGCTTGCATTTAAACGCAATTAAATCCTAAGATATCATGCATCTACGTATACAAGGCGCTTAGTGATTCACCAGAGCTGTAATTATTTTAGCAAATTAAATTTATTTATTTATTGAATTAAATTTATTAATTTATTGAATTAAATTTATCTTAGTGATTGACAGTTAAACGCAATAAACTTAATCTTAGAATGTCACGTGTCCACGTACTGGGCGTTCAGTTTTTGACAGTTAAACGTAATAAACTTAATCCTATAACATCACGTGTCCACGTACTAAGCGCTCAGTTGTTGACAGTTAAACGTACTAAACTTGATCCTATAATGTCAGGGGTCTACGTACTGAGCACTCAGTTGTTGACAGTTTAATAAACTTAATCCTATAATGTCAAGGGGTTACGTACTGGACGCTCAGTTGTTGACAGTTAAAAGTAATACACTTAATCCTATAACATCACGTGTCCACGTACTGAGCGCTCAGTTGTTGACAGTTAAACGTAATAAACTTAATCCTATAACATGACGTGTCCACTTACTGAGCGCTCAGTTGTTGACAGTGAAACGCAATAAACTTAATCCTATAACATCACGTGTCCACGTACTGAGCGCTCAGTTGTTGATAGTTAAACGTAATAAACTTAATCCAGTCTACGTACTGGGCGCTGGGGTCGTAAGTGTTGACGTAGAACACGCCAGGCCGCTGTCCGTCGTGTACGAGCCTGACTGGTAGAACGCCACCGGCTGGTCAGGCGACGGCGACTCGACGACTCTGGGCCATTGGGAAGTTTTTGTCAAGCAACAATTTCCAGAATTGCTTTTCTTGAAAACTTGTCATCAAGTGCTTTAAAAGAGGTTAATGTACTGGAGAAATTTGGTTACGTTAAAAATCAATATAGATAACTCTTTTTCAAATCTTTACTTGAATTTCATTTATCTTTGATATCATTACTTTGGTTTTTCTTTTAATTTTTTAATTCATTTTTAGTGACTATTACACTCACGTAATATTTGTCTTTGGAATGTTGTCAAAAGCAAGAGGTAGAGCTGGAATTACGATATTGTAGACAATGTTTTCAAACTGGTCCATTAATTCTTCTCCAGTTTCATAAAAATTTGCCGGATCGTTCTTGATCATTTCCGAGAATTCCTGCGATGTCATGTTGTAACCCAACTCATAAACGATCTGTAAATATGGTAATAATTATAATTTATTGAAACATTTGTAATGAACTTGGCTCATTTTATTTAGAGTGAACTTTTAATCAAGCAATAATTTTTTCGAGTTTAGATTTGATTGTGAGTTAAGATTTGATTGTGACATTTTTCACATGATTCTGAAAAATGAGCAGAGAAAAAAAATTATCAGAATACCTGAAGCTTTTATCAACTGAAATATCAGTAGAATTTTACTTGAATATAATTTTCTGGAAAAAGTTCACACCTAATTTAATCAAAGCAAAGATATCGAAATATGATCGATTTCTCGATCATTTAAAAACAGACAAAAGCTAAATATTGATCAGCTCACCGCCTGCATGAGGCCGTTGATGCGTTCAACCTCCGACAAGCCAACTTGATGGATGAAGTCAGGTGTTGTGTCTTCTCCTGTGTGGAAACTGATCGCAAAACATCATATTAAATGAAGTAATATCATTCAAAATATTGAGAATGATGAGAGTCCAGGAGTGAAATGATTGTCCTATTCGATTGGGTTAATAAAGCTGGCTCCGAATAAAACAATTTTCTGCCTGGACAGCTAATTTAGATGATTGCATCATTAAACGACGTGATCTAACAGATGTAAATAAATTTTTGTTATATTATAGTCACAAGAAACAATAATATTATTCACATGCAAACGCAGTTATATTAATTTGTGTGAATGATTAGAATTAGCGAAACCAGAAATTCACTAATACAGATATGCCTCGTGAGAAAAACAATCATTAATTCGTTGATAATAGAGAAACCTTGATCATTTAAATGAAAATTTCAGTTTTTTCAAGAACGGATCAAACTTACATGATTAGCTGCCGGTATAGTTCGGTTCCGTTGGGTAAAGTGGAAATGGCGATGTCAGGTCGCGTGCTGTACTGAGTACTAATGTACTGCTTGAGCGATGTAAAACTGGGCACAACCTGTTCAGCGATTCGGAATTTATTTGTTTATATTATATATATACCTATTTATTATTTATTGTTTTTTCACATAGGAGTAAACAACACGCAAACAAATGAACAACACGATCAAAGGAATGACAAAAAAAATTTCTAGTGAATGCCCATACAAGTTAAAAAGCTTCGCAGGCGACAACTGGACAGGCGAGAAAGGCGACACATGACTTTTTCATAATTTTATAAATACAATATTTATTATTTTATTTTAATATTGTTTTATATGATTATTTTTATATATGAATATTATTAAGATTTTTATGTTATATATTCAAAAATAAAATCAACACTTTCATGGAAAATATTCAGGGTGATTTCTCATAGTATCGATGATATGAAATATTTTAGTTGATTTAAATATATTTGACTGAATGAACCTTAATAGATAGCTATACTGATTGTTTCACCTAAAATTTTCAAGAAATAATTTAGTGACAGAAAGTAAAAAAATACAATTCAATAAGAAAATGTCCACTCTTCTTTCATTATTTACTCAAAAATTTTCTCAATTGAGGACACAAATTTTCCTGAAAACTCTGATAAAAAACGATTTGACAATCGAGGCTCCATTATAAAAATACTGGTTCTACGTGTACTTAGTTTACATTTTCAGAGGTCTTATGTATGCATTTGCCGATTGCTGAAATACTAATACTTTTATAACTGATCTGAAGTGTAGCTGCAGATCATTTAGCTTCTCATTTGAAAATCGTTTTCTGTAAATTGAAGTGCTTGAAAATCGCTATCGAAAGAGAAAGATACTTCAAACGATACTAAATCGTTCAAATAATTTACATTTTAGCGCATCTGCCAGAGTTAAATTTGGTAGTGACAGGGAAGGCGAACAAGTATATGTTTATGAACAAATTGCAATGAAGGAGATTATCTTTCAACAAGGAAGATATTCAAGAGGAAATATCCAGGGACAAATGGTATTAACATTGTCACTTAACACATCAATAAATATTTCAGCTATATATAGCTTTTGAATTATCAATAATATATTTATTATATCAAAACTAACCGTCTCTAATATTACGGCTTTGGTTCGATTTTTGAGGTCATCAAGCTCTTGAGGACTTAAATTTTCAGATGGACTGGAAAATACGTGCGAAAATAGAATGCATTCTTCCGGATCTTCCACGATGAAAGCGTCTATTTGTTCGGTTACTCCGTTCTGCAAACAAAAGTGAATAGATTGCATATTTTACTTGTGATTGGCAGTCATTCACATGACTGCCCTAACTTGACGCACCTGACATTAGCTATTAGAAATAATTCGCAAACTTCATGAATAAAGGTAAGATTTAGCTCAAAATACATTTATATATTAATTGATTCTACAATTTGGCTATAGTCTTGATCTGCATGCCTGGTCACAACAGAAATTAGCACTATTATCTCATTTAAGGTATTTCTTACGGAAAAAGCGTGAATCATCGTACAATTTGGATGTTATATATTTTATTTTTCAACCAAATTGCCGAGAATATTATCGGTACTCGATGTTCTGATAGTGTAGAAATCTAAAAAATTATTTTCAGAAAATGAAGACAACTCTCTCATTTAGAATAGAATTCATTACGAAAATTTTTTAAAAATCTCATATGAAATAAGATGACAACGATAGGAATCTTCATTAAAGATCGCAATTTTCGCCTTGAAAAACCAACTATACATAAATGTCTTCTACAAAACACTTCTTATTTCAAAGCAGAGGCCAATGGCGTCAAATTAAAATATTCTAACTGTTTATACAAGGAACCAATTTTCTTGATGACAAACCGAACTAAGTTACCAACATTTCCTCACCATGGAGATCTGGTGCGGAAGAATACCTCGAGCGACTCCTTCACTCAAGAGTTCAATGATCTGCTGGATCTGCACGTCGAGTTTCGAGATCCTCGCGACGTAATCTTCGTAGTCGGAGGCAGCGTTGAACTGGGTCCAGGAGATCAACTTTTCCAGGTCTACTTGGGGGCCTTCCATGTAGCTTATTGGCTCGAGGAAACTTGCAAAAATAATAAAATTAATGATAATAATAATAATAATAATAATAATAATATTAATAATAATAACAATAATAATAATAATAATAATGACAATAATAATATTAATAATAATAATAACGTTTCCACAGTATTTCGGAACAAATGGTAATTATAACATCATATTTGCATGAAATTTAATTGATATTACATACCTTAATTACATGTTAATTTAGGCTAGTTATCGATAGTCTATACAAGCATGAGCTGGCAACTAAATTTTTTCTACTCAGAATGATTGGTGCCAAACCCCAACCTTTGGAAAGTCTTATTTTTAGAATCGTTTGGCCCAATAACTTTAATGAGGATCACTTTACATTTCTTTACCCGTCCAATCTCACTTCATAAAAGGGTATCCTGCGATGAATGTTTCAACCTCGTCTTTCAAGATGAGCAGGTTGACCACATCCGACGTTTCGACGAGCGTCGGCTCAAGTACAAGAATTTCATCAAGGAATTCTTGCGATTTCTTCAGGCGATTCTCGTACGCAGTTAGCGACAAATCGTCGAGATTTGCGTTGTAGCCGTTGAAACCTACCTGAGAAATTAGGGTCGGTAAATATATCCTTAATTTGAAATACTTGAAGGTTACATTATGGGTACTTCTCTTCAAGGTTGTGGTGATTATCTCGCTATAATATACAGTATATATTACAGCGAGAGATTTATGGTAATATAAAAGAGCAATAGTTTAAAATGGACCTGCGATGAAATTTACCCTAACTGACAGGTCCCACAATTTTTGAAGTGTTCCAATTATTCATAATTCACAGTCAAAAATGAAATTTCGCTAGTAACCTTAAAAAAAATGCCATCTTCTCAATTGGTGTGAAAGCCTAATTTTTCAGAGAAAATAATTGCTGAAATTAGATTTAAAATAATCACAAATAAACCCGAATTATTTTAGAAGGGGACAGACAACTTTCAACTTGACATTGTATCTAAGATGGAAATAATTCAATGGAGAAAATCAGAATAATTTTATGAACGAATAACGAATAATAACGAATAATTATGGCCTAACGAATATAACAAAATAATTGATCTTGACCTCGCTAATGTAGTAAAAAATTTCATCTAGTCCTCACGAATGAATCAAGTAGTTCCATGTAGTCCTCACGAATGAATCAAGTAGTTTCATGTAGTCCTCACGAATGAATCAAGTAGTTTCATGTAGTCCTCACGAATGAATCAAGTAGTTTCATGTAGGCCTCACGAATGAATCAAGTAGTTTCATGTAGGCCTCACGAATGTAGCTGACCATTTCATGTAGACTGCACGAATGTATTGAACAATTTGATGCAGGCATAGATCACAAATGTAGAAAACAATTAGTAAGACTATGAAATGTAGCAAACAATTTCAAATAAGCCTCACGAATGTCGCGAACTCAGGTCTGTCTGACATCCGCCAGTCCCAGTAGGCGTCACAGAGCCTCTGGACATCCGGCGACAGCGCGCTGCTGCCTGACAGGGATTATACAGCTCTGTTATTCAAACACATTAAGGACACTTACAAGATTGAATTAAATTATTTTGCAAAATTAATATCTATCATGGCTAATTTATATATATTAGAAGGAAGTCAAGAAATTCTGTTGGTCAAGTAATTTAAAAATAAACATGTTGGGTTTTTTCGATGATCATTCACGCGAAGAAGCTGTGTGTTAAATCATTATGATAAATTTTTCCCAAATGATATTTGTTGCTAATTATAGATATAATTCTGTTCGAAATATTATTTAAGAACTGAACGTAGCAGATGGCTTTATTGAATTCATTAGCAAAAACTATTGAGTTAACGACAAAATCTAGTTTAAGTTGTGGAATTATGTCAATGTGCAAAAGGCCTTCTTGAGCATGTAAAAAAAGTCATGGAAGTGCTTGGAAATTAGTTGTACAAAAAGCCGTTTAAGATTTTATAATATGTATTAAAAATTCAGATTAATGTGAAAATATCCAAAGTTTGGATTTCTTTCGATCAAGAAAAGTTGAAATATGCGGGAGCGTTAACATGCATGAAAAATTTTTAATAAAAAATAATAAATAAATTCAAAAATTCTTTATGATTGGTATAAAGATCAATCATCGAAAGCTTCTAATGAAAGGCTGTCTATAGAATAATATACTCACATGCGAGCAGTATAAGAAGTATGGCTGCAGCGAACTTCATCTCTGAAACTTAATGAAACATCAGATTTACATACTGGGAGATTTACATCTGGAAAATAGTTACATCTTAAAATACACTTTTAATTTCCCGTTGAACGCTGCAAAAAACTTTAGAGAAATGTTTTACTTTTGATTAATTTGTTGAGAATCTTCTGTTGATTCCTAATATTAGGAATCTTCTGTTTATTAGGAATTTTCTGTTGATTCCTAATAAATGTGGGCATAAATTAAGGATTAAGCAAACCATAAAGGATTAAAAATACTTATATTAAATTTTAAGTGATTTTTTATAATATGTTTTGCAATTTTTACTTCTATGTACAATTAGTAAAAATCTTCTTCTCTTCTTCGAGTGAACAGCATACTCGATGCAGCCACAAAATATAAAAACGAAGTAAATGAAAGCTTTCTAAAGCGTGTCGATATTCATTGTCTCTAGTGTGCAGCAAAAATATATACGCTTGAGTCGTGGCCTTGCTTCAAATAATGAGCCATATTCAAGACTCATTCCAAAAATACAATACAATTTTAATCAAAGAAGTCAACTCACTTTAATTGGGGTGCGTTGCTTGTCCACTGCTGACTGTGGAACATGGGATTGCGCTTGATACCGTAAGGTGTAAAGCTTATCTCGTTATCTCGCCTCGTAACATGTGATTGCTTTCACACGTTAATCTTTTTAGCCCCGCAATCACTATTCCCCAACTGGTATACCAATTGGGAAAATGGTGCATTTTATATAAAACGTGCTGTAAAGAATTTTACTGAACATACTTCTCCCGTATACATGAGGTTGGGACCTTTTAGGTAGGACCAGAGTTAATGAGCTCAGACAAAATTCATTTTGAATCAAACTTGACTGAGATTGTTCAGCAATTTGGTATGTTATCATTTACTTATGTTATGATCGTTTTATTGCTTGTTAACCTTGGCTATTTTCTCTATATTGTTTTTAATCTCGGATAACCTCAATTTATGTTCAAATTGTTCATTCTTTGTTTTCAGAAACCGTTACAATCTACAACGCGTTTTCGTTCTGAACAATGCCCCGAACAAAGAGCCATATTCTTTATACGTGCACTTCATATATAAATGCACGGTCCAACTGCTCTGTTTCGTTGAGGTTAACAAATTGTAATGCCCGAATGATTCAAGCGATACCGAAATAGAGTTATGAGATTTTTATCGAACGTGATTCAATTTTTCAATATGCGTTTGAACAATGGGATGTGATAAAAATTTCCGTCCTCTGATTAAGTGCGGTTCTCCTGTTGAAAAGTCAAGTCGAACTTACAGTATAATCAATATGTAGCAAGATATTATGACTCGATATAAAGAAGATATTCGCATCGACAACTTTTGTTCATCAAAAGAAAAAAAAAAGCAAACTTTATAATAATTTTTCTTAGTTACATCCACTCTAGAGGCTCGACTTAACTCAAATCAACAACAACGTTCAGGGGAATAAGTAAGAGACGCTACAGTTGCAGATTTATTGATGCAAGCACTTGCAATTAAATTTTAGTTTTGTATGCTCCTGTGATTTCTTTATCCTTTTAATTTGATTGCTTGGCAACTTGATTCAAAGAGATTAGGCAATGAACGAAAGGTTGTTCATTTTATCTCGTTTTTCACCACATTTTTACATACAGGTAAACGATTTCAAACGAACTTTAGGCACTCGCTACGGGCTTATGTGTACTCCATTATCATAGGCATTAAATTCCGAAATTCTTGTTAGAATTCTGTCGTAGAAATATGATCACATTGTAATAATATATAATGTTACGGTTCATCTTCTATTGTATTTTAGGCCAGTTTAATGCCCCATGTACATCAATGTATTACTAGGAATTAAAAGTTAGCCTCTTCAATGCTATTTTTTTAACAATAAGTATTGATAATCATACAAGGAATTAAATGAGCTAGACACAACGCCCCATGCAGTTTGTGTATTGCAAGTTCAAGACTTCATCTGTAGCGCGCTGAGTGTAAGAGTTTGCTTTTGAATTCACCAGGAAGAATGTGACGGCCTGAGATGTCATCTCCCAACAGCGATGAAATTGTTTGCTTCTTATCCCGCTCGAGGAATGAAGCTGAAATTTCTTTTTCCCGCTCGAGGAATGAAGCTAAATCCTCGTTTCCCAGCCCGTGGAATGAAACTGAAAGTTCGTTTCCCAGCTCGAGGTATGAAGCTGAACGCTCGTTTACCAGCCCTAGGAATGAAACTAAACGTTCGTTTCCCAGCCCTAGGAATGAAACTAAACGCTCGTTTCCCAGCCCTGGGAATGAAACTGAATGTTCGTTTCCCAGCGCGAGGAATGAAACTGAATGTTCGTTTCCCAGCCCGGGAAATGAAACTGAATGCTCGTTTCCCAGCGCGCGGTATGAAACTGAACGTTCGTTTCCCAGCCCGAGGTATGAAATCGAACCTGCGTTTACCAGTCCGAGGAATGAAGGTCGGAGCTCGCTTGCCCACTCGTGGAGTGAACACATAGTGATGTATCGTGTCCATTTTCTCGTTCGATGACAGTTCGTTGTGAATAGATTTAGGTTCGTGACGCCACCAATCATCACCAAAATTATGGTCCCACACTTGCCTCGTGTCTCGCTTCCCCATTCGGGGATTAAAAGTCTCTCTTTGTGCGGCGTAGGGAAGTTTTCTCGCCTGGTTGAGGTCGGGAAGTCCTTCTTCTATGAAATTATTTTCGAGATTCTTGGGTATTTTGAAAGGCTGCCGGTAACGGAATCTTTTTGGGCTTAATACGTTTAAGAGATACCGTTTTTCAGTGGGAAGCGGAACCAGTTTGCCTCCAAACTCAATTTCTTCTTTCCCTGGCATTTCCAATGATTCATAATAACGGCCCTTACCCCAGTCCCTGAATGCATTGCTGTCACTAACAGAATCTGGCTGCCTCGTATGATGTTCTTGATCGGAAGCAATCATCCTGGCTGGACCTGGGCTCTTTGTGATGCTTAAAGAGTTTTCAACACGACCAAAATCTTGTTGTTCTTTATTAGAGCTTACATGTGAAGGGAAAGTGTCGTGCTGTCCTGATTTAAGCGCATTATTGAATTTTCTTGTGTTGCTGAAGACATCGTCTTTTGAAACATATTGTCGCGGGATGTTGGTGATGTCATCCTGAATAAAACCGAGATCCTTATTTGGCTGGGGATTTACAGAAGCCGATAAGTAAGGGTTTGATGCAAATGAATTGCCGGGATTATCGACTGTCAGAATTCCTTGTTGCCCATACTTTAACTGTGCTTCTAAGATTTCTTTGGGTTGCAGAAGTTTCTCCCTGATTCGGTTCTTCATGAGAGTGAGCATGAGGCGATTATGAAGTTTCTGCCACGGATTTGTGCCACCAATTTCGGTCTCATCGACGATGTCGTCGAGGAAATCAAGAAGCCCCGAGGATGAAGGAAGGTTCTTCTTTACCAGCTGAGTCGCAAAAATAGGAACTGCACACCATAGAAAGAAAAGTAACATAGCCAGATTAATGAAGATATATCATTTCATGCAACATTCGTTGGAAAGTAAATTTCAGGTGTATTGGGTTACGAAGAACAAAAATGCAGGAATTTTTATATTTTCATACAGTATAAATTGTTTTTAATTCCTACGTTGACGACGAACCTTTAAGTTTTCTCAAGATGGCATTCTGATGTCAGAATTTTATGAGAGTTCTAGTTCATTTGAATCAATGTCTTATTTGTTTGTTCGAAACCATATATGGTTTATTTAAACTTTTATCCGAACAATACCCGCAAACACCAGTAGTTTCTAGCAGAACTATTAAAAGCAAGAAGCGAAGACATAGCATTTCTAAATTTTTCTATTTCTGAAATTTTTTAAATTCAGTTTTTCGACTCACCTTTTTCCACAGGTGAAGCGTCACTCGATATTTGAGGATCTCTGATACTCCGCTTTTCACGAACGATTTTCTGAAACAATAATAAAAAATTTACCCGGCCAAGGTTTGCCACATAATTTGTTTGCATTTCAAAATATTTACACCCTGAATTTGCATACCTTTCAATGATTGCAATTTTTTCAATAGAATGAAACCCCGTTAATAAATTTATTCACAAATTTTGTCAGGGAGCAGTAACAATTTCGTGAGACTATCAACTTGACGAAAATTTCTGATACATCATTTGTAATAGCGTTTATTAGTGTTACTAATTACAGTTTGCAACGTTCTTGTGGATGCTGTTGGATTTTATTTCATAGAATATTCAAATTTGGCTCCGTCTAACGAGCTTTACCTCTAATTTTTATTTCAACACATTTTATCATATAATCACCAATTTTTATTGCTAACTTTGTGAAGAGTTGATATTAGAGTTCATTAATAGCAGATAAAAATCTCATTTTGTCATGCATGTCTTTTCAGTAACTGGAAAAAATTCCTCATTTAGTTAAAGTGATTGCATGCAAATAGAGATCTATTGCCTTATCTCTCATTACTGACTGCAATATTGCAAATAATTCCTCAGTTGGATACTGATGTTATGTTTTCATCCCAATTTGCCTCTACGTGATATTCAAATCGTGAAAAAATTAACAAATTTGTGTCGTTTTATTAATTTTTAATGCAGATATGACTCACCATATCTTGCTCGTTTTCTTTAAAATAATAAACAAATTTATCTTATTTTACTGATATTTAATGCAAATATGACTCACCATGTCTTGCTCGTTTTCTTTAAAATAATAAACAAATTTATCTTGTTTTATTGATATTTAATGCAAATATGACTCACCATATCTTGCTCGTTTTCTTTAAAATAATAAACAAATTTATCTTGTTTTATTGATATTTAATGCGAATATGACTCATCATATCTTGCTCGTTTTCTTTAAAAATAATAAACAAATGTATCTTGTTGTATTGATATTTAATGCAAATATGACTCACCATATCTTGCTCGTTTTCTTTTTTGCTTTTTCCCATCCTGGGACTCCAGCCTCTGGGAGGACGGCTCGTGGCTACTGCGGTCACATCTTCTTCGTTCACTGACGTTCCTACATCCTGGACAACCTGTGACCGTTTGAACGATCATTGGTCCGAGGGAATTGCAATTTACTTCCTATACTATTTATTATTTCATGCTCAAAGTTATATTTCCCTTGCGAAATGTAGGAAATAAGAAATGGAAGATTTCATTATCTTGATTCAATCTACCCTCTATCTACCCTCTGGATTCAATGGTATTTTTAACATGTTGATTAATCGATTTAGACGATAAAACTTTAGTAATAATCAATACAAAAATGTGCCTAAATTATCAATATACTCACATCAGAGTATGATAAAAATTTTTCTTTCGAAACTTCTTGATCTTCAAAACAGCCATTTTCCGTATCTCTGGCGTGCACAAATAAATCATCGTCTTTACTGGTGAAATACTTTTCATTTTTATCGATTACGCTGTCGTAGTCATCGTATTCTTCGTGGTCTTCCGGTTTATCAAATGCATCATATTCTGCGTCAAGATCGTCGAAATGTTCTAGTCTATTTGAGGGCAGCTTCTCATCAAGACGATCAATTCCGTTCGAAAAATCTTTAATGGAGGTTTTGAAATTCGGTCCGTGCTTGACAATATTACCGATGTCAGTATCCCTTGGGAATCCGTGCTCTGGGCTCGATAGGAAATACTTTTTGATCAATTTTGGAGCGTACGTATCGAAAAAATTATCATCAAGTTGGTTATCCAGGTAATCGCTTCTGAAGGTTGGCTCGTAGTTATGTTTTTGCTTGTGAAATTCTAGGTTGATTAGGTTGGCTGGTCTCTCGTACCCAGGTGAAGACTTGTCACGATCATCATTCTGATTAAAAGCCGGGAGAATAAAATCGTTGAATTTGCTGCCACTCTCGCCGCTGAATCTCTTTTGGAGAAAAACCAAAGCGTTGTAAAGTTTATCGTTATTGTTTGCAATACTTAGTGAATTTGGAAAATCATGATATGCCCTCAGCAAATAAGGTTCAGCTTCATCCAGAAGATTCGGTTCGACTGAGTTTTCTTCTATACCGAATGCAATATCTATCTGATTTTCGGGATTTATTCCATAAAGTAGGGTTGATATATTTTCATTTATCTCACTATTAAGATTGAAATTGTCGAAATTCATATAATCTTGCCCCAGCAGAGCCTCTAAGGGTAACCTTCCATCTTCTGTGTCACTAGAAAAAACGAACCGAAAATTCGGCGGTTCATCATCCGCCGCTCGTTTATTTTTATTAAATTTTGTTGCAAATACTCGGTTGTTGTGACTTCCTCCATTTTCTGAATAATATCCCGCTGCTTCTTGCTTTGAGGACACATCAGGGTTGGCTGATGTGTTCTTAGATGTTGCGTTTACTTGGGCATTTAAAACTGGGGCATCGAAGGATTTCTGGCGAATAAAAATATTCAGAATTATTCAGCTTACAAACAGAAGCTGCCGAATATTAAACTCAAGAAACCATCTAAATTAATTATTAGCAATCATTTTTAGTCAGGCAAGTGCAATCAGAATTTGGTCTTGCTATCAGAAACATGATAATATCGGGGAAACTGAGTTAATGGTTCAGTTTTTTAGAGGTTAGAAAAAATATTGATTCAATTATTACTAGACTATAAATGACAATACCATGCACGAGTACCAACATTATGAGAAGCAGCATGAAAATTAACGCAACATGTCACTATGATATATATCTGTGACAAAACGTATTTGATTTCTGAAATCTGATGAGCACCAACCAACTCATGATGCTGTTGAACTTGGCCCGCCCGCCACTCTGTAAAAGATTTAACAAATGAAATGAAATTTTTAGCTGGAAAATATTGGCCTCTGATTCAAGTATGATTATTGAAAAATATTTTTTAATGAACAACTGCATCGTAATAATATAATATAATTCATTTAATTGTTAACTTATTGGTTGCCGAGCTCTTTGTACTTTTTTTCAATTTTCAAGGTATATTTTTTTCGTTTAATTATATCTGCATTATCACAAAATGGAAACTTTGTTCCTAAATTGCCCTCAGCAAATAGGTCAATAATTGCCCTATTTCTTGCAAAACGAAAACATAGAACAGAAGCACCAAAAATTAATCCATTAGTTAGTCCATTGGGATTTCATTCTTCAACGACCTCATTGATTCATCAGCATCATTAATACACTTAAAATCGTATCCTAGCTATTACAATAATACTAATACCAACAAATTACGTAATTTAATATTTAGATGGACGCAATGAATTAAAGTAAATAGACATCTGAGATAATGTTCAGAAATTCAAATTCACTATTTTTTACTCCAAGAATACTACATTCCTTCAACTGCTCTTCAAAACAGCAAATATGTAGCAATTTGTTCCGAGACGCAGCATTTGCATGCTATGCTACCATGCAGGTTACATTGCAAACGGAGATTGCATTTTAAATTCAAATTCAACTTTAATGACAATCCAACCGCATTGCCGAGACCTTCATTTGAAAATAATAGCTATTCTACCTCCGTTTCAGGATTAGAGGAACTTCCAAAACAATTTTTCAGTTTTATATTAAATAATTAGAGCTTGAAATGTTATTTTCCTCAACATGATGTTCCTGTGGAATTTTATTTACGAAGATATCAGGAATATGTGCAGGAATAAGAGAGCGCTGTTAGCTTAACAACATAATGATTCATATCTATTTAATTTTGAAAATTTTGAAGATACATCTGTACCCAGATCAAATTAGCAATCAGCAAGCCATTTCTTTATGGCTTCAAAAAACAAGTTTCATTTGCCGCTGGTTTGCTATAATTGGACGTTCATCCGCTTATGGCTAAGCTGTCTGTTTTTCTTCGAAATTTTGAACGATTTTGACAAACAAGTAGTTTCATACATGATATGGAAGTCATTTAGTATTTTGAGTTCGGATTAGGTCGACAATACTGGACAGACAGAGACTATAAACGCTCTCACTGAATGAAATTTTTAAAAATCTCAAAATATTGTCAATCTCAATATCTTGTCGAAAGTTTCTGATTTATTACACACACAAGATAAATGATAGATTTCAGTTATAGAAAGAAATATTTATCTGATTTATTTTTAATTACAAAATTCTGGATTGTGGGATTCTTAAATCTCAAATATTAACTTGCATCAGCAACGCGGAGTTATATAGCATATATTCTATATTAAATCAATCTGGTGAATGGTGAATATGAATGATACTGAATTCGGGAAATTTTCCAATCGTGAAAGGCAATCCATTAAGAGCTACGCACGGAAAATATTGATAGTTGCTACGTGTATCACCATTTGCAATTTTCGCATATTTAAATTACAAATACAGATTAAACAACGAAAATTTCATATCATTAATTACTAGTTTTATGATTACTATTAAACTTATGTGCAGGAATTAAGAAACGAATACCGAGATTATTATTAATTAAAAACAGATTTCACTGTTATTCATATTTAGCGGTTGTTGTCAGTGCTCTACTTCAGGAACGTTATCACTGCTCTAGTACTCATGGCGTTTGTTAATTCTTGTAATGATTTTGTAATGTGATTGTTTAATGGGAAGAATATTTAGCGTAGGCAAAAGTTTCCAGGTGTTTGCGAGATACCTTAAGTTAATTTAAGATACTGATAAGAAAATACTACGTTATTTTTATATTTATTTATATTTGTAAGGTATTTATAAGGCTCGGTATTTACAAGGCAACATGAATGCCAAATAATGTCACAGATATTGAATGAAAAATTGAAAATAAATGATAACTTTAGACAAAAATTTTTGTTTGTAAAGCGAAGAATTTTCATCTCTATACATGCTTAGATTTTTGCAAGTCTTGCCTAATGCGATGGCATTCAATTTCATTATTAGTTTTGTTTTGCAAGTATATATAGTGGGAAAATGTAATATGTCAAAATGGACACAAAAATGAAGCTTTCCTTTATACAGCCTTTGTTTCTTGACTCCCACGATAAAATTGAAAAAACGTATAAATTTCTTAAAAAATGAAATATTTGATTTAATCTGCTGTTTCTCTAGAGGGTCAAAATTGCAATGAAACATGCATTCAAGTTTCATCAACATGTAAAAACCGACCATTTGGATGGAAGGCAGGCATTAAATGCTTTGGCTAGTAAACACGGAGAGTTGGCACTCCTTAATATAATTCTATTTGTCAATAACTTTTAACGTATTATAATTATACTAAAATTATATTATACTATACTATAATTATATAGTAGAATGGAAATTACCTCTTGCGATGCTGCCATTGGTAGCAACTGTAGCGAAGACGCAGCCAATGAGAAGCCATGTTGCCGGCACCATGCAAATAGTTTGTTGCGAGCTCACAGTCAGAAACTTTATTTGATAAATTTGCTGTACAAACAAGGAGGATTATTTATTTCTGTAGGTTGAAAGACAGTGACGAACATTTGGCATATAAAAAACTCATTCTCGATGATTACATAAACATTTTACTCCTTAGTAAACAACGAACATTATCCGAAAAAAAAACGAAATCCAGTCGCACGAAGTACAGAAACCAAATACAAAAAGCAAAATTCAACCTAATTAGAAACTTGAACTAATTCTCGCCAATAATACTGATATTACAAAATTAATACGAATAATTCAAAATTATAATTTAAAAAAATGTTCGTACCCCAAATCAAGAAGTCAAGTTTGTACTTTCTCGTATCATGAGAATGTGGAATGTGTTCGTGAATAACAGTTGTACAAAAACATTCTTTGACTTGACAATACCTTCAGCATTAGTAGCTGTTTTTCGTTGAAATTTCTTGTTTGATATTACACGATGGTACAAGATTTACGCGATGAATAAAAAAATGATTATATAGTAATTACATATATCTGTTATACTATGGGCTATACATTCCATGGGAATCGTATTCACTATAATTGCATGTACACATATTTACTTGCTAATAATGTCCGGCAATTCCTAAACTGCAGCCAAATGATTTATATGTAGAAATTGTAACAAATAATTTACGCTTATTAAGTTTCGATCCTATATATAGGTCAGATTTCATTTAAAATAGAGCATAAAAATTTATTAATGTACGGGTTGATCATTATTCGATTTATAGATGTAATTTACCGTTAGTATAGAGACAACCTAGAATTTATAGCATCAAAATAGCTCGTAAATTGAGTTGGAGTTAATCATGTGATACTTATTCCAATTTGATATCAATATGGTTTTAATCATAGGTCATTGAAGGTAATATGAAAGCGATGTGAAAAAATTTCATATTATTACTTCCAAAGTATTTTTAAAATTAATATTGATCTAGTAGAATTTCCTGCAAGAAACTGGATATATAATAATGACCCCATTTATAACAGTGCAATGCTTGCTTGTAACTGTAGCGTGTGTTCCGCCCTGTCGCTGATTCCCTTGTGAGGACCTGACGACGACTTCGAGCCTTATATAGCCTTGCCGACCTTTGATGCTGCCCTCCAGACTTGAAATGAAAAACATGATTGTATTGTACCGCATTTTTCTCAAATTATTTTTCTGAATAAAGCAATTGAGCTGATTCATGTTAATTTTTTTCGTCTGAAAAATTAATGTGTTATTTTTAGCGCATTTTCTAATTTATGGAAAAAAGACGCTAATGTGCTCGTCATGTCTGTCCGTGACTTCACGTCTTCGTCGATTTTAAGAAAATGCGCCCTCTGTCACTCACTGCAGTGACTACTGAGTTATACAGTATTTTTTTTCAGAATATTGAAAGCAGTAACATTATTGGTATTCGCGAATATTTCATATATTAGGTTCGTCCCATCCACGAACTGGATGAAACGACGAGGACCAGGAGCTTCCGTACGCCGCGGATGAAGCTCTTCCGTACGCCGCGGATGAGGCTCTTCCGTACGCCGCGGAAGAGGCTCTTCCGTACGCCGCGGAAGAGGCTCTTCCGTACGCCGTGGATGAGGCTCTTCCGTACGCCGTGGATGAGGCTCTTCCGTACGCCGTGGATGAGGCTCTTCCGTACGCCGCGGATGAGGCTCTTCCTTACGCCGTGGATGAGGCTCTTCCGTACGCAGCGGATGAGGTGCTTGGGTACGCCGCGGATGAAACGACTCTGTGCAACGTGGATGCAGCTCTTCCGTACGATGTGAATGAGACGCTTGCAGCGCACGTCAGTCGCGTCTGCCTGCGATGTTAAGCCAGCCTTAGGTGGATTAGTCAGCTTGTCAGCCTGATTAATGTGGTATTACTTGATATGGATTAACGGATCAACGGCGTAGCGAGGAGGTTCAGTGGATAGGGTTCTGTGGATAGGGTTCTGTGGATAGGGTTCAGTGGATAGGGTTCTGTGGATAGAGTTTAGTGGATAGAGTTCTGTGGATAGAGTTCAGTGGATAGAGTTCAGTGGATAGAGTTCAGTGGATAGGGTTCTGTGGATAGAGTTCAGTGGATAGAGTACAGTGGATAGAGTTCAATGGATAGGGTTCAGTGGATAGGGTTCAGTGGATAGAGTTCAGTGGATAGAGTTCAGTGGATAGAGTTCAGTGGATAGAGTTCAGTGGATAGAGTTCAGTGGATAGAGTTCAGTGGATAGAGTTCAGTGGTTAGGGTTCAGTAGATAGGGTTCAGTGGATAGGGTTCAGTAGATAGAGATCAGTGGATATAGTTCAGTGGATATGGTTCAGTGGATAGAGTTCAGTGGATAGAGTTCAGTGGATAGAGTTCAGTCGATAGAGTTCAGTGGATAGAGTTCAGTGGATAGGGTTCAGTGGATAGAGTACAGTGGATAGGATTCAGTGGATAGGGTTCAGTGGATAGTGTTCAGTAGATAGGGTTCTGCTGATAGGGTTCAGTGGATAGAGTTCAGTGGATAGGTTTCAGTAAATAGGGTTCTGCCGATAAGGTTCAGTGGATAGAGTTCAGTGGATAGAGTTCAGTGGTTAGGGTTCAGTAGATAGGGTTCAGTGGATAGGGTCCAGTAGATAGGGTTCAGTGGACAGGGTTTAGCAGATAGGGTTCAGTAGGTATGATTCTGTATATTGGGTTCTGTAGATAGGCTTCACAGGATAGGGTTTAGTAGATAGGGTTCAGTGGGTATGATTATGTATATTGGGTTCTGTTGATAGGCTTCAGTGGATAGGGTTCAGTGGAAAGGGTTCAGTGTTATGTATATGACGTATCCTAATTCCAAATCAAAGCGCTTTCGGACAGCCCGTCATTCGTGAGCGGCGAGCTACCCACCGCCACCGCATAATAGCTTGGTTGGTTTATTATTGTTAATCATGAAGATTTGAAATAATTAATAATAATGTGTGAATTCTGCAAACAATGTTCATGTTGATGACAAGCCCGAAAGGCCATAGTTATAGGAGCTGATGCTCAGTTATTCTGTAACGGCCTTTTAGTTATAGCTAAAGTTAATGAATATTTTTAATTTTGATTATCTACCGAATATTTCAAAAATTCATTCATTATAAGTGTTTGACGAAAGTGAAATAATCTGCTTCAGTACAAATATTCGGCGATGGTGAAAAATAATCATCACAAATTTAACTGTCGACCAAAAACCATGAATAAGTTTCATAATCCACTCCCTCGGATCAAGACTGAGTTTCATTTGAATTCAATTACCCGGTAGGATCGTGCAGCAAATAATTCGGTACAATTTACATCAATTTGGTAGTTTTTGTGAGCTTGGAAAGAAAATGACTTTACCGGCTTCGGGAGACAAATGACTTGACATAATGAACTCTGTTTCTGAACTGTGTCGTCTTTCTAAGACTGAAAATTACCCCGCGGGACGCTAGAACTTCAAATAAGTTTTCATCTTTGAATGTAGGCTGAATTTCAGTAGAAAACTCAGTTAAACTAGAACAAGGAGTTTATTCAAGGCAGATTTCCCTAAATTTTATTTCCACTAATGAAGAATTTGCCAATTCAGCCATATTCGCTAATTTTATTATATCGTAATTTACAGAAAAAAATACAGGTGAGTTCGACGACAGAATGCGATGCGGCATATTTCATAAGGAAAATACATTTATCCATTTGTTGTCACATTATGAATTGAATTAGCGAATGGAACTTTATATGAATCTTCTCATCCCTAATGTTACAATTATTAAAGGTATTTATCTAGCAGTCATTTGCATTTGTTTCTACCTACGAAGTTCGCTCCCGCGAAACATTATAATTGAATTCTGTCTTGTCAAATGCCTGCAGTACAAGGCCTGCTTGTACTGCACAATGTACCATTGTTGATTTAGTTAACATTTTGATTTTGAGTTTCAAGCTGGCCCTGGCGTAAGGAGACGGAAATACCTGGAACGTGTTTAATTTGACAAATTTAATTTATTTTAAATTGAATTTTTAAATTAATTGGACTCAATGTCGTGGCCTACATGTTCGAAATAAATTATTTTACTCGTTAGTCAGATGTTGAGTGCAATACTAATGTTATTTTTAGAAGAAACCAAGATTTTTATAAGACAAGAACGAAAAATCGTGTGTTCAAACCCTTCTGAAGCGAATATGCATACAGATACTTCTGAAGTGCATTCAAGCTGTTCCATTGTGGTTAGAACGATAGCGATTTCTATATTCAACTCAATTAGATATCATAATTTACAGTCAGAAATACGAATTGCCTTCATGTTATAGATGATAGTATAAACTGAAGTAGGGGTAAAACATATTTTGAGACATCTAACTCATTAGCATTCAAATTTTTCGGTAACTATCTACAGTAAACCTAACGTCGCTGACCTACGAATACGTTTTAGTGGTTGATCATCAAATACGTTCTCATAGCTGAACAACGCATATGATGTCGTAGCTATACAACGAATACGTTACCGTCGCTAGACAATAAATACGTTATCGTAGCTAGACAACGAATACGTTACCGTCGCTAGACAATAAATACGTTATCGTAGCTAGACAACGAATACGTTATACCGTCGCTAGACAATAAATAAGTTATCGTACCTGGACAATGAATACTTTATAGTGGTTGAGCATCAAATACGTTCTCATAGCTGAATAACGCATATGTTATGTTGCAGCTAGACAACGAATACGTTATCTTAGCTGAACCTTTTCGGTACGCACTTCTGATCTGCGCAGGATATGAGCTCAGCGCTGGGAAACGCTGCAGGAAAGATGTTTGTATATTTTGTTGTCGTTGCGCTCGTGACGGCCTCTTAAACTCAGTCTCGCTTCATCTGTCGCGAAAAGTGAGAGGTCACTGCGCTAAATGGATCAGATTCTAAGTTTGTGAATGAAAATTAAGGTAGCGCGGTCAATTCACGCTAAAGTAATTTGAATTGCTGAGTTATTTGATCGCGGGGTTTAGAATGCATCGGTTGTTGGAAATTATTATTTCATTAATTTGAGAGTGATGACAAAATTCACTGTTGACTTCATGTAGTTTTGGCTATCAGTAGAATTCTTTCCGTGCTATGAAAGTAGACATGCATTTTATAGCTTTGTCTCTTAATCATGATATTTCAATTCATCATACAGCTCGGACATAAAAATATTGAAAACAAAAATTGATATTATTTTATTAAATACCTTGAAATATTGTAAACTGGCTGTTTAAAAAATCAGTAAAAATGTCTGCTGAAGAAATTCAGAACGCACTTTTCGTTGTCCTATCTTACGTAGTTTGGTTGAACGAAGTAGACTGTCAGATCTACAACGAAGGGTTCGGGAGAATCAGCACAGACAACTTGTTGCCATATGCAGTACGTGGTGAAGCGCCATCTAGTGACAACTGCAGCAAAATGCAGGAAGAATGCAGAGTGAAAACTTATCGTGACCATGCCGACAGTACCCACGTAGAAGTATCATGCTACTGTTATTTCCACAAGGTCCAGAAGCTTTCTTTATTTATTATTAAACTGAAAAAATACAATAATTTTCGGTAATGTTCAATGCTGGAAACAATTTGGAATGAGTTGAAACTGTCTCAATTATTCAATCCCAATTTTTTTAGATTCGTACTTTGTAATCACCTTAATTCAGTGTACATGTCAGTCGACATCTTTTGCACTGCTCTTGAACCCGTGGATTCAAAATTACTTCAAACAATATTTTGAAATTCTTTGAGTATTTTTTCCTTAAGATACTTTTCCTTCCAAAAGGCGGACGTCTCGGGCACATTACACGACCTAATGAATACCCCCTGCCCGCTGGTGCCCAAACTTGGTCAAAGAGTTACATACGCTTCACTTAACATCACCCAGTGCGCTGTGGAGAAACAGGTACTTATAGTCAATGTAATCTCTCCACTATTTTATGAAAAAAAATATTTAGAATTAGAGCATTTTATAATTTCATGAAACTGTACTTAGGAATAATTACCTTAATTTCAGATGTAATTATCGTTCATTCTGATATCTCATGACAATGATAACTAAAATTTTTTCGCGAAGTTAGCGGTTAACGTGATTCTTAGGAAACTTGGTTGCGTAAGAAAGCCTAAAATGATCACTTAATTCTACGTCCCATATGCGAGCTTTGTCCCAAATGTGTAATTTTTCAAAGATTTTGTCCCAGATGTTCAATTTTCCCCGACTTTGTCCTAGATATGCAGTTTGCCCCAGCCTCTGTCTAAAAGGCGCAATTTGTCCCTGACTGTGTGCCAGACCTGCAATTTGTTCCTGATTTTGTCCCAGACCTGCAATTTGTTCCTGATTTTGTCCCAGACCTGCAATTTGTTCCTGATTTTGTCCCAGACATGCAATTTGTTCCTGATTTTGTCCCAGAGCTGCAATTTGTTCCTGATTTTGTCCCCGACCTGCAATTTGTTCCTGATTTTGTCTTAGACCTGCAATTTGTTCCTGATTTTGTCCTAGACCTGCAATTTGTTCCTGATTTTGTCTTAGACCTGCAATTAGTTCCTGATTTTGTCCTAGACCTGCAATTTGTCCCGGACTTTGTCCTAGACGTGCAAGTTGTCCCGACTTTGTCCCAGACGTGCAATTTGTCCCAGACGTGCAATTTGTCTCAGACGTGCAATTTGTTCCAGACGTGCAATTTGTCCCAGACGTGCAATTTGTCCCAGATGTGCAATTTGTCCCAGACGTGCAATTTGTCCCCGACTTTGTCCAAGATGTGTGCATTTTGTCCCGGACTTTGTCCCAGACCTGCAAGTTGTCCCCGACTTTGTCCAAGATGTGCGCATTTTGTCCCAGACTTTGTCCCAGACGTGCACTTTGTCCCCGACTTTGTCCAAGATGTGCGCATTTTGTCCCAGACTTTGTCCCAGACGTGCAATTTGTCCCAGACGTGCACTTTGTCCCAGACGTGCAATTTGTCCCAGACGGTGCCGCTGTCCCTGCTGTTGGCCTTGCGGCGCAGCGATCACCTACAGCTCCTCATCGCGGACTCGGCCCCCGTGCGCTTCCCGCGGCCCGATGACCGAGGGCAGAACTCGGCCCACGGGCAGCACGGCTCCCTGACCGAACTTGGCATGCGCACGGTCAACGTGCACATCGTCAACAGGTTTGTGTTTGTGGTGTCAACACATTAAAATCCATGAGCGCACTCGCTTAGCACTTAGTACATTAGTTTGGTTTGCAATTTCAATCTATTAACTTAGATTATTTCACTTGCGGTGCACTTTGTGAACTAGTTTGATTTGCAGTATCAATCTATTAACTTACATTTATCCAAATATCTTACGATTGCAAACTTTCTGTGCAAACGGTCAACAGGTTTCATTTTGCATACGAAAATAGATTAACATGAAAGACGCTCATATCTTCGACTGCCAATAATATTATAATCATTTTGAAACTGAGCGACTAAGCGAAGCCAAATCCGCATACTTAAAACTTGTGAACCAAAATAAAGTTCATAAATTTAAATTTTTGATTGGTATTTGGCGGCAGCAAAGTCTCTGGCATTGACCGGGGCTTGGTGGACGGCTGTAAGCAGCTGCGCTTCCTCGCTTCCAACAGCGACATCGGAGTGCTGGGCGACGACGCGTTCACGTCACACGAACACGAAGATGTTGTCATCACTATTCAGAACTCAAACGTCACAAAAATTTCGAAGGTGAGACGTGTTGAAATGAATAGTTGTTATCGTTTATCGCTCCTCGCGTAGTCTAACGTCAATGCTGCTTAAATCGCTATGGCACAAGTCGCCAGCAATTCAATTTAAAATAGATATTTTCTATAGAAAACTGATTCACAAATTTCTAGTGAAGACAGCTTCGTAGTTAATATGTATATGTCAATGATCCATTAAAAATTGCATTTCTGACCATTATTAAGTGGTATTTATTAGCGAGTGACGAATAGGTACTGTGTAGCGCTTGCTGAGTGCATGGTGACTAGTATGTCATTGATGATTGAAAACATTAGTGTTAATAATTAAAAGATATACGGAGTAAAAATAATTGAACGGAATAAAATGTATAACTGGTTTTTTGAAAGATTATGTGGAAATGCTTAAGAATTAAGGTCACCGAATAAATTTTTAACATTTAATCTGTTTTCAACAGATTGGTATATTTCATATGAATGTGTCTGCCGTTAAACATATTTAGCAGGATTACCTTAAGCGACAACACAAACGATTCAATCATTTGGAATTCTAATTTGATTTAATATTTTAAAATTATTTTACATTTTACATATAAAAAATTACAACCACAGGAATAACAGAAGCCATACATACTTGAGCACTATCCTGAAATGACCACTTCTTTGATTTAATAATTCTAAATAATTTTCATACATGCCTCCGTTTTCAACAATTCCAAATCAACTCTGAATTCCAGTCTACTTTGATCTCTTTGTCGCTCTATGGGATATTAATAACACTAAACCTTCTATATTTGCTGCAATCTAGCGTTTTCGAATTCACAGAATTCAGTTAGGATGCCGACAAGCGGTCGCCTGCTGATCAACAACAGCAGGATCGGAGCTCTGGACGAAGGATCAATCTCAGGCAGTGGTGATCTCTCCTTGATCTCTTCGAAGATCGGCCTCCTGAGTCGAGGATCTGTGAACATGATCGGTCTGAGCAAACTAGAGATGCAGGACTGCTCGGTCGCCGCTGTGGAGCAGTTCGCGGTCATCAGCAGCAGGTTACTGACTCCTATCAGGATTAATTTTAATTGAAATTTATTCTATAGATATTGTGAATTGAACAATGCAAATACAAATATAATTTGGATAACGCTAGAAATTAAGAAGGGATCTCTAGTTCCAGGAATCTTTTCTCTTTGCCGCATGTCACTAGCATCATTTAATAGCCAATGATTAAAAAATTTCATAGAAGTTTCTAAAAAAAGCAAAAGACAATGTTTTACCGCAGTTGATCGGTAATCCTTTCTATGAGGACAACAGAACATAAACTTTTGACCGTTTTAATAATACATTTGGGCACATTTATGAAACCCGGCCGTCGTAATCTCTTTATAGACTGAATTTTAATGCATTATTCCCTTTATGTTATTTTCGATCTTCATCGCGATAAATATCAATTTTCACCAAAAATATTCACATTTTCATGTAAATTATTTTATATGAGACAAATATTCAATCGTATTGTGCGAACGAGCAAAGTGTTACAATGTTCCTGATTCATTCCTTTTCCACACTTGACAAAAGATTTCCATAAAATAACAATATTTTCAAGTTAAATCCTCATAACTGGCACAACTTTCAGTAGTGCACCACCAGAGCCGGGCTCGAATCTCAGTTTAAGTGGAACCGAGAACCGACCAGTGGCAGCCGACGACGAGACTCGGACCTCTCAGTGCCACGCTATTTTTTCCGGTAACCACTTCATGAGCATACACAGCATGGCCTTCTCTCATCTCTGCAAAGCCAAGCAAGTTACTTGGCACTCCAACGAAGTCGTTGATGCTCTCTCCGGACCTGTGGTCTTAGAGGTTAGAAAATTTATTATCCAAGGCTTCCTTGTCGTTAATTAATCTACATAAAACATATTGAAGTGTTACAGTGGATGAGGGTGTGTGAGATATTTGATAATTCGTTAGTGGGTTTTCGGACACTACGATTCCTCCATGTCTCAATCTTGTGTACTCTGAATGTGCAAAGTACGCAGTAATCAGGGTAGAAAAAGTTCAGAAATGAAACGTATTGCTGACAAGCTTTGCTGCATTTCTAAATTTTATTATGAAATTTGTTGTTTCTCTCCGTACCAATGTAGTACGACTGAATCATTAAGATTTCGCAAACCCAATAATTTTCCCATTTGCATGTTCGTCAGAGCGACGGTTGCCCGCTTCCAGCATCGAGCATCGTCACCACCACGAAGCTCCCTTGTAACAATTGTTCTCTTTTTGATCCCTCTGATATAAAGGTATGAAAAGCCTGTTACATGAGACGGTCATATGTTATTTGAGAAAAAACGCTTGCTTATTCCTTCACCAGGTAAGATTTGTTCAATGAATAATTGGCAATAACTTTGGCTTGCTTGATGAGATTTCTCCTTGTTTTTGCTCTAAACTTTTTAACCAAAAAATAATCTCCAGCATTATGATTGTCCTTATTTAATTTTTATTGGCGGTATGGTACCTGTTTCCGAATTATTGATGCACAAATTATTTTTTTGAATATAAGATGGATTTTCCAAAGATTTATTTGTGAAATACAATCGTTCTATTCACTAATGCTTATATTTTTTAGGTATTAGATTTCTATGCTGCTTATTGTGTGATGGTAGATGTGCAACATCTACGTGAACTCGTGGTGCTCACACTGCGATGGCAACTTTACATGTTCCAAGTCCCTGGAGGAGTACCTGACGATGTCATGCCCCAACGGGCCCGACAAGATTGCTACTCTCACGAACACCTGTCGCGGCAAGAAGACACCCAGAAGCCTTGGACTTAATTCTTCTCCTGCTAGAATAACTTATATTTTTGATCTGATTGCTGTCGGATTAGTAGTGGTTTTTGTCGTTTATCAATTCGATTGATATTCCTTTTATGTCGGGGAGCTAATGCGACGAAAAACAATGAAGAAAATTGGATTGACTTCCACGTCAAAATGTTGAATGTATGAGTATTTTTAGTATTAATATTACGTAATACAAAAATTGGTTTGGTTATTTGCAACAGAATCTAGCAAAAAAAAGCTCATTTCAGTAGTCTTGTGCTAAAAAATTAATTGTGATATACAGGTCTTGCCATCTCAGGTAAGATGATAAACTAATATCTTGAGCACTTCAACTTTATCATCTATTTGCACATTTTGAAAGTGATAGGAGGTACCTAATGATTTGTCTCATTATTGTGCTGCTAAGCAATTTCATCTTAACCTTCATCCATAAATTTCTTAATTATTCTAAACTATTAAGATTTCTGCTCTGAGTTCCTACTACCGCCATGTAACGCAATGTAGTGCAATAAAGCCAGTAATCTGTCCTTTTGAAGTGACACGCCGGATTGACGCACAAGTACGGTAGCGCTACTTCTCTAAAAAAATAACTTTAATGATCAAGATAATTCTGAAAGCTGAATGAAAGCTTATTACTCAAGTTGCTTCCTATGATTTAAAAAGAGAATCCTAATAACCACGACGTTATTTTTTTAAGACACCGATCGTCTCCGAAAGGTTAAGTGTAGAATGTTCAATGGTTGAAAGAGAATTTTCAAAGACGTGCAACAAGGATAATTCCAGGCTTGAAGGGCAAGTCCTATGAAGAAAGAAAAAGATTATTGTGATAATCTTACGTGCCGAGGTTCAATTAAAAAGCTTTACCCACATGAAAATTTTATGATTAACTTGATAGTGAACTAATACATAACGTATAACATTTAGGCTAAGAGCTCAGGAGCGGCAATGATTGGGACTGGCCTCCTCTAAGATCGATTCCCTACTAGAAACGAAGTCTAGCTTAAGTTTAATAACTTAAATAATTGCACCTTATCTCAAAATAGAAATGAATTAACTTGGAATATACTAACAGATTATTCAACAATTGGAAATGCAGTAAATTAAGTACACGCTACTAGAACATACCTCGGCAGATGCTGAACTACGGGCACATCCCTCCGGTTACGGTAAGTTAGCACCAAGTTCGCTACCTGCTACGGGATCGTCAAACCGCTCTAATCGCGTCAGATCGAACACTAGGGTTTGCTCTTAGTCTTAATGCAACTTTTAAGAACACCGAACAAAATATTCTTATTTGATCCTACAATTATGAAGCATCCAAGCCTCAGTTATTGACGTCTGAGTGGGGACCTCATTCAAGTATACAAGTACGTATACTCATGGTTTATACAAGGTCCCGAATTATTACTAGAATTTGAAACAAGAACCAACAACAGGGGCCAAGGCTATTAACTAAAAAAACTGAGCTGCAACTTGTCCGCGCGACAACATTTCTTCTCGCTTCGAATCACCGACATGTGGAGCAGCCTCCCTAACTACATCGTTGGCGCTCCGAGTATGAACGCGTTCAAGAACAGACTAGATAAAGCTGGGGAAAAATATCTGTTCAGATTTGAAATGCCTAGTACCATGTCGAGTAGCTATTTCAAACTATCATCAGTCCTGAAAAGATCCGGTCAAATGACACGATTTTAGATCTTTTGTGAACAAGTCACGAAAAGTTCAAGATTCGGCGACAGGCCACATCAGGCCTACTCTTTAGCGCCGACATCACTATGTTTTGTTATGTTAATATCTGGTATCTATCTATCGTTCGTTCGTGAGCATCAACTCCAAAAATCACAATAGAGCCAATGCATGAGCAATTCTACGTGCGTGAACTTCAATCATTTCTTATTTATCCACATAGACTGAGAGTGTACCTGGAAAAAAATTTGGAAAATTAGTTTACGAAACTATCGTTGATACGCGCCCATACAGGTATATATATTTTTCGGTGCCAGGCTTCAAATCATGGTTGAATAATATATGTATTAATTCAACCATGCTTCAAATACTCATACAGACCCACACACAAACTTTGAAAACAGTATATAAAATCAGCCTAGCATTAATTAGCCTTTAATTTATACTAGTTGCGTGGAAACTATTGGCCAAAAGTACTAATGGCTGGCATTGCGCGTATTTTGCCACTTACTTTACGCGAGGCTATTGGAATATAGTGTTTAGTCTAATTAGATTAATTTATCCTTAATAAAACACATGCCAATAATTTTGGTTCGTGATGCAGTGTGCGAAAAAATAGAGAGTAATTCAATAAAATATCAAACTGATTTAAATTTGTCTTCCATGTGATGTAACAATTCGCACTTTTGCTCTTGGTACTAATCGTCAGTCCTGCGAAATTTTGTTTGCTGCTCGGACTTCTGGCAACGTGTCGAGCCTGTTAGTAGGGCGCTTGAGAAGTAATAATAGCCTTTGCTCGTCTCTAAATTATTGTCCCTATCACAATGGTTTCGAAGAGTACTATTGGAGTGTGTGCTGGAGTTGCTGGTGCACTGTTTGTTGGATACTGTATATATTTTGACAAGAAGAGGCGAAATGATCCTGATTTTAAGAAGAGGCTACGTGAGAAGAGTAAGTCTACTAACTCTGTACCTACTTAGTGTACTGTAGTGGAACTGGGGTCAGGGGTGCGCTGCAGGCGTAGCATGGTTACCAAATTTTCTTGGGTATCTTGTTAGGTACCCGGATTATACCTAGTAGCAAATGAGAGATTTTTTAGCAAACGGTTAATATTTCTTCCCTCAATAAAGTTATCCCTAAGCCATGACAGCATTGACAGATAGATAGCCAGCCAGGAGCCTAGGACAATACCTATTCCAAGCCATGAGTTAGATTTTGAGCTATGAATCTGTTAGTGTTAGGGCTACCTAAGCCTTGAAAGACAAAATAAGTTTTAACTGTTCTTGAAATCCTGTGGTGAGTGGTCCTTGCTTAGCTAATTGTTTTTAATACCTAATGGCTAATGAGAAAAATCAAATATTTTGCCTGCAAATTCAAAACTTAACATGTGATGATGTCATTGATGTGAATTGTGAAACAATAATTTTTACTTGTTAGCTATGTCTTTGTGATTATTTTTAGTTGAAATCTGCCCTATAATGGCTATAAAGGGCAAAGTCTACCATCAAATGGGCCTTAATGGGGTAATAAAAGATGGTTTTGAGAGTTTTTGTTATAACTTCTTTCCATGAAAAATTTCATAAACAAGTTTGGGCTCATTTTAAAGCTCTTTGCAAGGGCTATCGAATGGCTTCTAAAAAAATTCCATATGCTATTTGTAAGGTGCCAGACACAAAAAAAGTGTCCCAAAATCCAAATTATCCCTGGGAATGGGGTACCATAAAATAGGGTTACTTTGACTCCCGGGGTAACTTTGACCACTCTTCATTTTTTTAACAAAAACCCCCAAAACTCAAAAACTATTTGACATAGAAAAATTTTGTCAATGGCCATTATTAAAGGCCTAATACTGAGGCTACAGTAACATAACACAATAGAAAGATTTAAAAAGTTTGCATATCTAATAATAATCTATCTTGGTTAAAAAATTTAAAATTTGACCCATGAAAAAGAGCTATTATTTAAAGCCTGTCAGAGTACCCCTTCCAATTTTTTTTATTTTTTGATAAAATCACTCCCGGTTTTGATGCATTGTAGTAGAACTCTTCTAGTTACATATGCAAATGACAAATTTGAGAAAAGTGTCATAGTTTGCAAATGGGGGCACCGCCCCCCAAAGTGCAAAATGTCACCACCTAATGGCAGCCATGACAGGGTAACATTGATGCTTGACCGGCCTGGAAATTAAGTTAAAATTACCATAGGTACCTATAAAACATATTTTATGTTTGATACACCTATTAATGTTTTTTCTTTATGTTTCATACTCTACAGTCTTAAATATGGTAATTTTAACTTAATTTCCAAGCCGGTCAATGTTACCCTGTCACGGCTGCCATTAGGTGGTCACATTTTGCCCATTGGGGTGCAGCGCCCCCAATTTGCAAACTATGACACTTTCCTAAAATTTGTCACTTGCATATGTAACTAGAAGAGTTCTACTACAATGCACCAAAACCTGGAGTTATTCTACCAAAAAATAAAATTGATTTTACCACCCAGTCAAAGAAACCCTAAAGTGGGTGGTAACAAAGACCATCACTTTTTTGAAATTACATCAAAACTATGAGAGGCAGGAGCCAGCAATTTATGGTGAGTGAAGCTAGAGTATAGACCTGTATTTTGCATGTTTCAATTTAAGTTTAATTCATCTAGTAAAAAAATGGCATCATATTAAAAAAAAGCAATCAAAGTAACCCCATTTTATGGTATCCAGAGATAATCTGGGATACTTGAAATAAAACTCAATTTTAAAAGGTTTGAAGCATGCAAAGTGTGGTACTCATCCATTACTAACAGTACTCTGAAGTCCTCTTCCTTTGTAGATGATTTAGATGTAGAATAAATTTAAATGACATTGGGCCTGGGTGGCACTCAGTCGGGTGACATCATGGTGATCATCACCATCATCAATAAATGACATTTTCTGTAATTTTTACTTGTTTTTCCTTTATTGATATGATATTACCATATCCATACATTATCATGTTATTGATGTGATATTACTGTATCCATGGACATGCCATTGTGCATTTATAACAACCTTGTCTACTGCAAGCTTCATATCAGCAGCCATGTAGCATTTCTTCTGTATTTGTAAGCTTACACTTGCAAAATATTCAAGTTTGATTAAATGTTGATTTTTTTCAGGACGGAAGGGACGTAAAGGAGCTTCTTCCTCAGCTAACATCAAGTGGCCAGATCTTAAAGACCAGGAAGCAGTGCAAAAATTCTTTTTAACCCAAGTGCAGGTTAGTTGCAATAATTTTTCCAGACTTCTTTGTCAATATAAACAACTTTTTGAACATATTTATTTAAAAATTTGTCTATTTTTGTCTTGACAATGGTGAAAATCTATGAAAAATTCCCATTTTATTAATATTTATTCAGGATACCTCATCCTTAGAAACTCAACATAATTGTGAATCAATTTCTGTTATCAATACTAATAACTACCTTATTCAATTGTCTTGTTTTAGAGGCTAGGAATAACTATTTTTCACAGAAAATATGATTATAATATATCAATTAATGCCAAAATAAATTGCTATAATGTAGGCTGACGGTACTTGATAATGAAATTCTCATTTACTTTCACTTGCAGTTAAGAATTGAACAAATTTGCTCATCATGGTCACTGAGAGAGATGCTTCTGATCAGGATGATTTCCTTCCACTTCCACGAATCATGTCCTTAGATTGACTCAAATTTAAATTTTATGAGTACTTATATTATCAGTCTGCTTATATTGCAAGTTCACATGGAATTTAAAAGCAAAGAAAACACCAAGCAAATTCAACATCTCGATATTGAAAAAGTTTTGGAGTCCAGCTCCATCATAAGTTCAAATAAATAAATCTAAAAAATATTTTTAAAAACCCAAGTTTTTCTGGTTTTTACAAAACTTAAAATAATGAATCAAAACAAATAAAAAAACTATTGAAAAACCACGTTTTATTAACAGACAAAAAAGAAAAACATTTACTCTTACATAACATTTAAGTTACCGTAAAATGGGGTAACTTAGACCACTTTTTTTCTTATAAATGATGCCATTTTCTTACTAGCTAAATTAAACTTGAATTGAAACATGTAAAATACAGGTCTATACTCTAGCTTCACTCACCATAAATTGCTGGCTCCTGCCTCTCATAGTCTTAATGTAATTTTAAAAAAAGTGATGGTCTTTGTTACCCCAGCTCTTGGGGTAACTTAGACTTTAAATAATAGCTTTTTTTCGTGGGTCACATTTTTAATTTTTTAACCTATTAGATATGCAAACTTTTTAAATCTTTCTATTGTGTTATGTAGCCTCAGTATTAGGCCTTTAATGCCCATTGACAAAATTTTTCTATGTCAAATAGTTTTTGAGTTGTGGGGGTTTTTGTAAAAAAAATCGAAAAGTGGTTAAAAGTTACCCCGCCGGTCTAAGTTACCCCATTTTACGGTATGTAAAATGTTATGTAATTTTATGTAAGAGTAAATGTTTTTCTTTTTAGTCCGTTAAGAAAACATGGTTTTTCAACAGTTTTTTTTATATGTTTTAATTCATTATTTTTAGTTTTGTAAAAACAAGAAAAACGGGTGTTTAAAAATATTTTTATATTTATTTATTTTCTACTTTTTAGTTAGCAATTTTAGCAATTGAAATCAATTTCCAGGGTTGGCAAGTGTGGATGTTTGAGAAAAAACTCAATTCCAAACCATGAATTTTTCACGTTTTTTAATTTTTTTAAAAATTTTTTCTACAATTTTTTTTAAATTATTATTTCTGATGATCAAATTTTGAATTGTTAGGCAGCATAAGCATGCGTGCCAAATTTAAAGTTTCTAGGATGTTCAGAAGAGCTCTAAATTAAGGTCTGAATTTTTGATGACAGACACACACAAAACGAAGTCAAGAAAAACATGGTAAAAACTGAAAATGAATAAAATCATATTATTATATCAAAATTCTAAGACAGACTGTCTGTCTTAGAATGGCTTTGCTTGAAAAATAATGCACCATTAACGGCTTTGCTTGAAAAATAATACACTATTAATGGCTTTGCTTGAAAAATACCTAACAAGACGTTTGTGCAATCAGCTGGGCGAGGAGCTGCTGAGCACGGGTGAAGTGGAGTCTGGTGTTGCTCACCTCAGCCGAGCTGTGGCTGTGTGCGGGCAACCTCAGCAACTGCTGCAGGTGCTGCAGCAAACCCTTCCCCCACAAGTCTTCCAGCTGTTGTTGGCGCAGCTGCCTGCGGTTGGCAAGGTTTGTTGCCGGGAAAGAGGCCAAGTATAGTTGTTTAATATTGCATGAATTACCGGTACGATATTACTTTGTATTGCTTTCAAATATGGAAACTAAAGCAATCAAAAGGCAAAATTTTTCTACTGTGCGAGTATCCCTGTAATAGTGTATGCATATATTCTTGAACAGTAGTACTATCAAGTCCCACCCCGAAAGTCTTTGCTACCTTCTTTTGTGTAATCAATATTTCATCTTCAAGAAATTGCAAATCATCTGTGATAAGTGTAGAAAACTGCTAGTATAATAATATGCGTTTAAAAATTACTTTTTAAAAGACAACACTTCTAAAGAGGCCAGTGTCTCTAATGTTACACATGCACAATGAATTTCTTATCTTATTTTTATATATTAAAATAAATGATTTTTTACATTTTTAATATTAAAAGAAAAAAATTGCATTATTTTGTCAATCGATTAAAGTATTTTCTTCGACTTTACGTAAGTGTGTGAAATTTCAGATCGATTGGACAGGTAAAATTGTGTTAAATATCAATTATAAAATATGTAGGAGACAAACAACAATACGTGAAGTTAAAGAGAAGTGTTGTAAAAATAGTCTTCTTTCACACTGTTTCTTATGCACCAAGGTCAAGTCTGGATGCATGCAAATGTAGTAGATATCAACATTATTATACTTTTTAACCTTTGTTGTATTGCCTATGTAGAACTGTTCCTACACTTCACACGATCATTAAGCTTTAAATTTACGCAGCCTTGCAAGGTTCATTGCTGATTAGATAATTCGATGTTCAACATTATTTGCTTATTCTCTATTCCAATGCGAAGGTATAAAAGCTTATTCTTAAGCTTTTGTATTGTTAAAAATTGATAGTTTTTTGTCAGTTTTGATTTCAATACTATTATTCAACAGAGCATCATGGAGGCAGCCGGAGACAGCAATGAGGGAGCCAAAATCACCGAAGATGATTTGGAATGAGGACGAGCATCGCTGATTCTCTGAAGGTCGAAACTTGTGAAGCGTCATAATTGTGGATCTGTGTGTCGGACTGGCCGTGATGACGTATCTAGTCTTCACTGTCATTTTCTGCACGTCTTAGTCGACATAAATCTACTGGTAACAAATATTTCCTGCTGAAATAATGTCGCTAACATGCAAGCAAAAATATCTTTTCATGACATGTAACTTGACTAAGCTATTTCCAGTGAGAGGCAAGTTGTTGAAAGATTTTCAGAGCGCGGTTTATTCTATCGCGCCACCTTCTCCAGTGTACAGTTGTTATAGCAAGTCTGCCTTCGTCATGATGTAAATTTTCTAATCTGCGATTGTTTAAATCGGCTCCGTTTCATCAACTGAATTTTTCTCTTTGCGATTCATGACAATTTTTGTTCAAACTATGAGAGTTTACGGCTGTCCGTGAATGAGACGTGATCATACAATTTTTTTATGAAAAAATGGTGAACCATCACGTTTCTTGGTCAGTTGATAAACCTTGGTCGAGGTAAGCGAGGCAAACCTTAATCGAGGCTGCTTTATAATATGTTAGGTCGCATTAAAAATATGATATCGATTTGTGTTAGTAACATGTGGCATTTTTCTTTTTTATTCATCGCAAGTTATTTTGTTATCAATTCGTGCGTGTACAGGCTGAATAAAAACTAAGGATTTGTTTTGGACTTTACTTTCACGCGTTCTCCTCTGCAAGGATTTGTAGCGGGAAACCGAGAGAGACGAAATAAAGGTATTTTATAATAAACAAACCAGAAGTTCGGCTTGACAACCATTTATGTACAAGAAAATGAGATACTGTCATGCCATCGACTTGACGAGACCAAATATGAATGTAAGACAGAGGCCTTAGGACCAGCTATGTAAGTAGCCAATCATTTCATGTACTACATCTCATTAGGTTCAACATACTATTTAATGAATTTTACTCCAATTTAAAATTTAGGACTGGCAGTGATATGAAATATAGTTCTTGACAGACATATTAGTTCTTGACAAACAAAATCGACGATAAGGTACTACAGATTAAGGAAAGTGCTTAGTACCACTTGTTACATGGCGTTGCTGGAAATAATCCGTGCATAACTTGTTATTCTCCATCAAAATCGCCACGCCATCATTATTGGGGCTATGATGTAGACCGGCTGACAGTAAAGCAGCACTGCACTAGTTTCGTACGCTCGGTACAGAGGTTATTACTACGAAGAACTTGCACTTACTGAAGATATACTATCTCCTTCAACCATTTGTCTACCAACGACGATCTCGGTTACTAGTCCGGCATAAACTAATAACATCGGGTGTACGAGTCCAAAATAGACATAAGATAGAGTAAATTCGAAGCAGAGTGCTGAACTCATCGCCTGAGGTGGCAGTCGGCAAAGGTGCGAAGGTACATGGGATCGGAGTGCTCGAAATATTCGAACTTCTTAGGCTCGTGCCAGCCATCCTCGTCGATCGTCTTGTAAATGGGCTCTCCCATGTACGTTCCCACCTCCCAGCCCTCCACGTTCTTCATCAGGTCCGCCTGCATTGTAAACGCATTTGTATTATGTAGCCCAAAATATATGAAATATGAATACCATATAAAGCTCACCTACGCTATAATTTTAAGCACGATCTTTTACCAGTACTGCTTTTAAAATTTTTCATATTTACATTTGAGATCAGACTGACTGGAGGAACAGACAGATATTGTCGATTGTCAACGCATTCAATTGACGTACCTTCTCGATAGACAAAGCTTAAAATAGGCTAAGAAGAAAAAGATTTCAATGAACACATTATCATCATATTCCCATCATACTGCAGTCATGCGTCATTTTATTTAAAAATAAATCCATTAAAAGGCAAAAACTTGATGCAACCTGCGATCTCTCTGATATTATAATTAGATTTAGGCGTGAAAGAAATAAGAAAAATGCAAAATTTGGTCCCGACCTCAGCGTCGCGGTTGCGGCGCATTTGGAGGAGGGCGGCGCGGTCGCGCTCAGCAAACAGGAACGGCAGCAGAGCGATGGTAGCGCTTCTCATCTCGATCTTTTGGTAGCTGTGAGGAGGGTAACTAGAGTATAGTGGCAGTGGCAAGATGGGGAGGGTAACTAGAGTATAGTGGCAGTGGCAAGATGGGGAGGGTAACTAGAGTGACGTGGCAGTGGCAAGATGAGTGACGTGGCAGTGGCAAGATGAGTGACGTGGCAGTGGCAAGATGAGTGACGTGGCAGTGGCAACACTGGAGTGACACGGCAGTGGCAACACAGGAGTGACATGGCAGTGGCAACACAGGAGTGACACGGCAGTGGCAACACTGGAGTGACATGGCAGTGGCAACACTGGAGTGACATGGCAGTGGCAACACTGGAGTGACGTGACAGTGGCAACACTGGAGTGACACGGCAGTGGCAACACAGGAGTGATGTGGCAGTGGCAACACTAGTTACATGGCAGTGGCAAAAGTATCCTTGTCAACACTAAGGCACTACTGAAGCAGTGACATACAAGCTTTGATGAAACAAAACAAGTTTTTTCAAGGACAAAATGATAATTATTGATAGATGAATTACTAATAGGATTAGTTTGCATTTCATCATTACTAAATAGTAAATACTAATATAACATGTTTAAATTCAAGATAAAATAGTATGGTATAAACTTCAGGTTTATCTGGAGAGTCATGTACTTGTCTGTTAAAGGATTCCATAGAAAGAAGGAAGAATTGATTTATTAATAAATATACGTATGAGGCAAATTACAAAATTAATCAGAGGGGCTTCAAAGATATTGAAACAAATTTAAACTGAATTATGTTAGGCTATGTAGGATAAGGTCTTCCTGAAATAAATCAATGAAGCTTACTCGAGCAGAGGACGGGTGACTTTATGCCGAACCCAGAGTGCACCAAACTGCATTACCACAAAAGCTCCAAATAGAGTCAACCCTGAAAAAATTTATCAAGATTATTATTTCACAGTTTGTGGTGTAATAACATTGTTCTTTCACCATTCCAACTTGTCTAAAGCTTCCTTAAATATCAAAATACCTAAAAATCTTATCAAAAAAGCAACATTCAATTCAAAACCAATGTGCAGGCAAAATTGGAACTAAATAAAAAACAGTATAGAAAAAAAAATTTGTAGAGCATTTTCAATGAATATTGAATAGGTATGCAAGGCAATAAGTTTTAGAAAGAACATTTGTTTACAATTTAAATTCAATTTTAGTACGTACTCCATCAAAATTTTTTAACCCATCTTAGCTCATAGTTTGATTTTCAAATGAACTGTATTACATACTTAAACTGTTACATAACTTAACATAAACATATCATACATATATATAATACATAGGTACAATATTATATACATAAATGTTTATTTTGCAGCTGTCACCTTACAAATAGCATATAGACTTTTTTCAGAGCTACCGGTACCATACAATAGGTAGTCCTTGAAAAGACTTTTAAAATGAGCCTAAGCTTGTTTGTGAAATGTTTCACAGTAAGAAAAACACCTCAAAATCATCCCTAATTACCCTGCTTGAGTTGAGCATGACATACATACATTTAGGCTGGTAGAGCTTATACTTATAGTTTTATTACCATTTATTTTACAGCTATTTCCTTTTTTTTTAATAGAATAGCAGCAAATCTGGTGAGACACATCATTTGATCTTTTGGGACTCTCAGCTACACAAGGTTTATACTTCAAAAATCCTTCTGGATGTTCAGGGTGTGTAACTTTCTTGCTTCTATGCGTGAATTTAGTGAATCTTATTGCAACATTGGAAATACAGCACCATTTAGCCAAATTTTAAATTTAAACGTTATTTCTTGATTCTACAATTATGTTGGGCTGGGCTAATATGTCTGTAAAACGTTGACAAGCCTGTATGAACCCGTTAGCAAACATTTTTTGGAACTTGGTTCTTTTCTCAATTTTCTGTAAATGGGTCTGTCTGCTTCTTGTGAATGTGTCTGCTCCCTTCAGGCTTCAGCTCTGGACCAGTCATCTTTGGAATCAAGTTCCAAAATAGAATTTCAATTTGCTTCTTATCTCTGTGAAAATTCTTACACAACCTTAATTGAAAAATTTTATTTATTGGTATAATGGTATCTAAAGTGTTTACTAAGAATTTCCAAAAAATATACAACTTAGATATTATTTTAAAAAGAATATATTTTTATAACTAGCTAATATAAATTTAAAGCTCAGAAAATATTTACATTCTTCACAAGTGAATAAAAAAAGAGGCTCCCACCAAACTGGAAAATTGGGCAAAAGCTACATTAGGGTAAATGCGGTATATTCCGTCACATTAAGGACGCATTGAGAAATGAAAAACTATAAAAAGTATAACCGTATGCGTTACTCAAGTTCTTTTTGCTTTATGTGACTCTCAAAACACCGCACTATGTGTCAGCAAGACAGCAACAACGAAACGTCACAAAATGTTGCCATATTTATTTAAAAGCCTTTAGAATGGAAACCTACCAAATCCCTATATTCCGTCACTATGTGTGGCAATATTCAGCACGTGGTGAGGCGTATTCCGTCCGCGCTTCAAATTCTACTGATATGTAATGCCATCATCCACGTGTTCGAATTCCGTTTGCTGTGTGAGCTGTATTGGAACACAACACGGCTTTGAATTAAAACATTAATGAATATTGAACACTACTTATTTAATTACTTAATTAATGAAAACTAATTCCGACACAACTTGAATTGGACACACACAGATCGTTCAAAGCTTTGTACAAAAATTGAAATTTGCTTTATTAAAAGCCTAATAGCTGTTAATTAAAACGTAATTAAGTAGTGTTCAATATTCGTTAGTGTTCTAATTCAAAGCCGTGTTGTATCCCAATACAGCTCACACAGCAAACGGAATTCGAACACGTGGATGTCGGCAATAGG